GTACAGCACACTCAGCAGGCATATTGAACGGTAATTTCGAAGATCTTCCCGTTCACCCTTCTTAAAAAGAAGGACGGTTCTTGACGTTCTCCACTGGTCGGGAATCCTCTCCTTCTGAAGGTAAGATGTCAGGTGCGACGCGAGAATCTCGTGTAGACGTTGTCCTCCGGCTCGCAGAAATTCGACGGAAAGATGGTCTGGTCCTGGAGCCGTGGATGTCTTCATGGTCTGGATCGCCGTGCGCACTTCAGCAGGTAGAATTCGTGGTGGTACTTCTCCAGTGGGAACAACGGGCATCGGCACGGGTGTTGATGAGCGGAAGAGGTTGGTATAGAAGTTCTTCGCGATAGATTCCATCTTGTATCGGGAAGAAGTCGGAGTCCCGTCTTCGTTCAATAGTGCAGCCAGCGGTACGTGATATTCACAGAGGTCCCTTCGGCATTTCTTAAGACTTCGTCTTTCTTCGGCTGCTTCCAGTATCTTGGCTTGCCTGTACTTCCTGAGATCCTCCTGCAAAGCTGTTCTGCAACTGGCGTTGGCTATCAGTCGCTCGAGATGGGTTGCATTCGGATTCTGCCTCAGAAATCTTCTTCTTTCGAGCAATTCCTTGGTGGTCTTCGATATACGTTCCAAGTTCTTCTCAGAAGTCACTGAGGCACATTCTCCGCAGGCTCGCAATCCTTTCAGAAGCCGGTCGTAGTCATACGTTGGGTCCTCCTCGATGGGCCAGTCACATCTTGATATGAGCTCCTCCAGCCTGTTACCGTCGTAAACGACTTCCTTCCTTCTCGCGGCACTGTGACAGACTTTCTTTTCCAGCCTTCGGCTGAGTCGTATCTTCGCTCGAAGGAGGCGGTGATCGGAGCCACTGCAGAAGGATGGAACTACTGAGACATCGAGCAAGCTCCACCTTCGGTTGGCGAGAATGTGGTCGATCTCCGCGTGAGTCGTTCCGTTGGGCGATTCCCATGTCCACCGGCGATGTTCTTTCTTCATGAAGATGGAATTTCCATGGAAAAGTCGTGCGGCGGAGAGAAGCCCAACAAGACGGTTGCCGTTTTCGTTCCGGAGCCCATATCCAAACTTCCCGATCCTATATTCCTTTTCTAGTGGCATCCCGATTTTCGCATTGAAGTCGCCCACAACATACTTGTAGAAGGACTTTTCGTTGCGGACGACCTCCTCCACGTCTTCGTAGAAAGCATCTAGTTCTGAGTCGTCAGCTGCTGATGTTGGAGAGTAGCAGTTGATGATGCTGATGGTCTTCTGACGTGGAGGGCGTAGTCGTAGGATGGCTAGTCGGGGTGATAGGATCTCGTGCGAATCGACAAGATGGACGATAGATGGGTGGACGACAAAGCCAACACCTCCCACGTTTCGTGATGGAACCTTCTCACCACGAATGATGAGTGTTCCATCATTCATCTGTCGCACGTCCTTCTTCCTGGACTTCGTTTCCTGCAGAGCGATGATGTGGTACTTGATGTGCTCTGCAGCGTCGAGAAGAGCGTGGAGGTCGGCGTTTGTGGAGACTGTCCTGGCGTTGTAGGTGCAGAGCATGAGGCAGTCTCCGTGGCGTGTCGTCCGGGCAGACGTGTCGTTTTTGTCCAATCCAAAAGGCGCCCTGAGGACCCTGACATCAGTCTTGCTACCACCCGGCGCCGTAGGCGGGATCCGATGTACAGGGTTTCTTTCTATTCTTCTAACTGGTAGAGTAATGAAATTTTTCCCCTACAAGAGCAGACTTACTAGGCCAACTCTTGATTTCCACGGGGTGATCGCTGACCCCGGGCTTGGAGCGGGGAGAACCGCCTAGCGACCTGAAAACCAGACGGCGGCGGATCTGGCCTGGCCGGCTCTTAGCTAGGCATCCGGCCGAAACCGGAAACGTCGAACTCCTTCACAGCTTGGGAGGCCCTGCCAGAGTATACACTCGGCTGTGCATCGCAGTTCGACACCCAGTGTCACCCCCACGCCACGATGAGGCGGCCGACCATTGTGGGGGCCATACCGCTTTGAAGAGTATTAAGCGATGATTCCAAATCTGCCTTCCAAATCTGCCAAGCGCCTCTGGACGCCGAGTTATGACCGTTCCTCGGAGCGAAAAATGAATGCAGAATTTAGGTAAAATTGATTGTTACAATCTTTCCAGCGCTCAGATAAAGCAATGTTAAGTATTAGCATATCAAATAGAATGTATCCATTGCATAAACACCTTTGATACCTGACACTGGACCATTTGAGCAAATTTGGGCGATTTTGCTTCAGTTTTGCGTTCAATTTTTTGACCAGAAAAACGAGCATAACTCGGCGTCCAGAGGCGCTTGGCAGATTTGAAAAGCAGATTTGGAATCACCGATTAATGCTCTTCAAAGCAGTATGGGTCTCATTTGGAAAGGCCACTTCGACTCGACACGGTTCCCTTGTGAGTTGGTTCGGAGCATAAATATCGGAGAGCTCACATAAGTTTTGGATCTTTTTGATTTGGACGACTAGAACGGTCAAAAATCTATCATATAGTGAAGAGAGCGGATCAAACCGTTGCCTCCCCTTTTTTGAGTCAAAAGTAGTATAATTCTACGCGTTGATAGATATCGCGCTCCAATCACTTGTGGTGTCCTTTGAAATATGTGGCGAAAAATGCATCGCAGGATTGTTGAGGCTACAGATTTGATGGGCCTACGAGATTCTCGACATTCAGCATCAAAATGGTACTATACCCAATGGCAGAGATTTAATCTACTCGAAATGTTTTCTTTCTGCTTTTTTGTTATATTACATACCTCAAAATGCGCTTTTTTCGCTTTTTTGTTACTACTTTGTTTGAATAAGGATTTCCCTACTGATTGTCACGTCGAGAGGGACTTCGTAAATTTTCGCGAAGTCATAGGAGACTTCGTTTCCTAAAAACCTCCAAACCAACGCGTGCCGGGCCCTGGATGTGAAGTTCCGTCGAAGAAAGGCGGACCTCCCCCTTAGATAAAGAACAGTTGGAGAACCCTGCTGACAGGGCAAGTAGGATTGAATCCCCGTTGTTGTACATATACATGTTGTATTATTATTCTTGTTGCTGTTAGTTTTATGCTTCAAATTCTTGTGTTCAAACCCGTGGTTCTCATCGATCAGGTTCTACCGAGGCATCCCACTAGACCACCCACCGTTACAGTAGAGAATTCACAAAATGTAGCTCGTCTCAGTAAAGCTTTACAAAACATGCACTCATTCTGCACCAACCTGACAGAATATATTAGGTTGTCAAGAAAATATCGTTTTTTTTTCGGATTTTTTCGGGTAGAATTGATATTACTCGAGAACTAGAGCATATCCGAGGCCAAAATTTTGCGGTAAAAGTTAAAAAGCGTAGAATACAAAGGCTTATGTGGGAGGGACCCAGTTCTACTGGGGGCGGAATCTGCCATTTTACATTTTTCTATTTTTTCTTGGTTTTTAAGCCTGGAAAAAATATAGCAAGTGTACCTATGGATAAGTGCATGTGTCTTTCATATGCAGGAGCAAGTGAGAGGTTTGCAGGATTTTCAGGGCGGAAATCCAATTTTTGGCATCACGAGTTGCTCGGATATTTGGCTCTGAACTTTGCGTAAACAAGAAGTTTCGCAAATGTTCGGATGTCATCTTGTATGGCTTCCTTCGCTCTATTGAACAGTATCCCTCACATATTTTTTGGATTTGTCTAATGGCTTTGCTATGAAAAACGACATTATTTTCTTGACAACTTAATCTTATATATAAAGCTGAATGTCTGTTTGTCTGTATGTATGTATGTATGTCTGTGTGTACGTATGTTCCGAATAGAAAATTCCATTTCTGAACCTATCCGGACCAAACTTGGCACACATACACCTCGGGCCCCGGCGGGTGTCATAGGCTACTTTTCGACATCGATCGATATCGATTTTATCGATTTTTATCGATTTTTTTGCAGAGTTCACCTACGGGGCTGGGAGTTGACACAGGGGGGTAATCGAGCATGGGGATTCCGAATACAATATTGGTTTTCAGGATTATCGATTACTTTTATCTATTTTATCGATTATTTTGCAAAGTTTGAGCTACGGGGCTGGGAGTTGGCACAGGGGGGTAATCGAGCATGGGGATTCGGAATACAATATTGGTTTTCAGGATTATCGATTACTTTTATCGATTTTATCGATTTTTTGCAAAGTCTGAGCTACGGGGCTGGGAGTTCGCACAGGGGGGTAATCGAGCATGGGGATTCCGAATACAATATTGGTTTTCAGGATTATCGATTACTTTTATCGATTTTATCGATTTTTTTGCAAAGTTTGAGCTAGGGGGCTGGGAGTTGCCACAGGGGGGGGGGGGTAATCGAGCATGCTGATCATCCCCAAGGGGGGTGATCAGCATGCTCGATTACACCCCTGTGCCAAATTCCAGCCCTCTAGCTCAAATTTTCAAAAAATCGATAAAATCGAAAAAAGTAATGGACGATCTTGAAAACTAATATTGTATTCGTAATCTGCATGCTCGATTACCCCCTGTGCAAACTCCCAGCCCCGCAGGTCAAACTTTACAAAAAAATCGATAAAATCGATAAAAGTAATGGTCGATCCTGAAAACTAATATTGTGTTCGTAATCAGCATGCTCGATTAACCCCCTGTGCAAAATCCCAGCCTCGCATGTCAAAATTTACAAAAAATCGATAAAATCAATAAAAGTAATCGATAATTCTGAAAACTAATATTGTATTCGGAATCCCCATGCTCACTTCCCCTCCTGTGCCAACTCCTAGCCCTGTAGGTGAACTCTGCAAAAAAATCGATAAAAATCGGTAAAATCGACATCGATCGATGACGAAAAGTAGCCTATGACACCCGCCGGGGCCCGAAGTGTATGTGTGCCAAGTTTGGTCCGGATACGGCGGAGCCGGGTAAGCCAGCTAGTAGTTTTATAGTGACAAACTTTCATTTATTTATAATGAGCACAGTTATGACAAAAAACTCGGAGGAGAACACATGATTTACAGCTGGAATTCCTTCTTCGGTAGATCATCACTATCGTCAGCTCGGGGCAGGTTTGGGTAAAATGGATATCGGGGGACGAAAGGCTGGAATGGCGGAATAGAAAATAATGTAACACAGATATGAAAATACTTTTTTATCCGCGTGGAATCAGCTTATACAAAGGAGGTCGGCGAGTGTGGCCCATGCCTGTGCATGCGTAAGCGCACACAAAAATTGAAATTCTGATTCGTAATACATTACCTCCATGTTTGCTCTGTCCATAACTGTGCCTTCTACACCTTTAACTGACTCTACATAATTGGGTGGTGACAGACCTCCTGAACAATCAAGCTTAACGCAGAAGAATGAGCAATTCAAAAACACACCTTTAAGATAGGGTGGAGGCATTGCCTCCTCTTTTTCGAAAGGAGCAGAAGCTGATGTTGATGGTGCACGGTCCTCATATGCACCTCTTACGGGAACAGTTCCAATCACTATTGGAATTTCCGCTTCAATATTACTATTGATTGATCCTGTACTTGTGAGCTTCACCTGAGATGGAATGATATTTTCATCCAAATCATAAAATAGAAGTTTTCAACATACTTCGATGACGTATTCAACCTTGACGATAGGACAGTTATTAAATGAGGGTACTGTAGACGGCACTTGCAAGTAAAGCTGGATAACTCCTTTGCTTTTTTGAGCAATACTAGCCTCCTGAAACATATTTATCGAACGTTAAAAAATGCAGTCGAACATTTTTGTGGCATTGCATGCTAGATGTGCTTATTAGGTTGGCAATTAAAAAATTTCGGCTGCTTTGGAGTCTACATAAATATTTGTCCAAAAGGAATTAAAACGAGAATCAAAAAATCTGCTCTATTCGAGCGGAAATTCTCCCACTCAAGGAAAGGCGAGAGAAAGAAAGATACCCGATATTTCGTGGAGCGAGTGTGAGGAAGTTTCTTGATATCAATAGAAAAGTTCGAAATTGAGATTTCGACTTTTATTGCTGCTCACTAAGTGAAGAAAACTTGTGTAGATCGATTCAAAAAAAAGTCTCTGCTTATTCATCTCTGTGTTTACAACAGCTTGAAAGTGAAACTTTGAAGTTGAAGAGCTGAGATTTTGGAATTAGCCATTTGGTACTGCCACTTGTTGCTGATGGAAAATCCTGGACAGTTGAGGTGTGATAGTAGAAGCCTGAAACGGCTTTTCGCCAGGAAATTATGGCTAGAAAACAACAGGCCAATTTTATAAGTAAAAGCATGTCAAAACGACATTATATAGTCATTTTAATGAATGTTTTTCGCGACATCATGCCTTTGCATCGCCAAAAAAAATCGCGGGTAGGGACCATGAAGTACAAAAAGTATGCCGCCGCATGCCGCGCTTACAAGTGCTCCGCATTTTTTCAAAGAACAAGACCAAGAAACAGCAAAATAAAGATTTTGTAGCCTACCTGCTCGCCTGTTGCCAGTTTACGCCGTTGCGTACGACGCTCGTCACCACTCGCAGTTTCTATGAATGAAGAAGGCGGAATTTTGCAGCCAACCCAACGTGCGACATAATTCGAAACCTCTGTCAGTCTGATTTCGGCCTGTAGATGCAGTCATCAAATTTTGTGATCGGTGCGGGCTATAAAGTCTCGCAAATAATTCACTTATACTCTTCCGAGCATTGAGCTTTCTTTATCAAAAGGTTCGCGGATGGAAAATAAACTCATTTAAAGCAATTTTCTCACATTTATGCCTCTGCCATTCGAATAATGGTTGATTTGTTTTCTTACTGCACGCATTGATCTCATCAGCCCTTAGGCCCCGGACAGACTTCACGCGACTTTATCGTCGCGATCTGATCGCCAAGATTTCCATTCATTTTCATTTCACATTCAGAAATTTCGGGCTGGAAAAGTATCACAGCCGAATGCAAGTTGATCGGCATGGAATGATGTTGTAACAGTTGTCTCGACGCGATTCAGTCGCGACGATCAAATCGCGTGAAGTCTGCCCGGGGTCTTGAAGGCACCGTCCACCCGAATTCTCGACTTCCATGTTTTTGTCGCTTCCGGGCCTTCTGAAGGCCCTGATTTCGAATATGAAGTCGAGAATCCCCGAAAACCCCAAGAACCCCTTTTTGGAGAACAAGCAGGACGGGTGGAAGTGCAAGTTGCAGGGCTGCGGCGCGTTATACGCCCGACGTAAATATATATCAGCGCCGCAACCCGCCAAACCTGCAAAATAGGCGGAGTGACCAGCTCTGGATTACGTACCTTCCAGATTTCTCGCTCCGGAAGCAATTTTTTGTGGGGAAACTTGGGAGTGAACCCCCACTTTGGGTGGATGGTGCCTTTAAACTAGACAACATCTGTAATAACATACCTTCACTATATCCTTGGAGCTATCATTGATGACACGAACGCTAACCAGCACCATCTCTCCTGGTACAAAACCACCTTTGGCCGTTTCGCACTAAAACGCAAATTGTTGACCAATCAGAAAGATAATAGTCAAAGCCAACCTCTACAGTAACCTTGCCGTGCCGGAACAAAATGATACCCAAATTCTTGGTTTTTGTCTCTTTCACTGGCAGTGCCACATGAGACAACAAATTGAGGTCAAAGATGGGTACGACTGCAAATATGTGCTTATGGCAACATAGAAGAAGATGACACTTCAATTTTCAGTTTCAAGCGAGAATGAAGCAAAAATTCACAAAATTAACCTGTAAAGACTTTCTTATCTCTTTTGTTAAATCGCCAAGGGCGGTCGATTTCCATCTTTACCATGTATCGAATATATCCATAAATGCCTGTAATGCTGTTACATGTGAATCAATTTTGTAGCAGATTTTACATGTGATTTTGCTCATCTTACCTTCAAAACTTGGTGGTAGGTGATGTGCCAATTTGAAAGCAAATGGAAACTGGTAGGTACCGGGTGCTAGTACCTAACAAGACGTGATAGCTTAAAAAAACTAGCAGCTAAAAGTTATAGTACTTCTTTCTCGCCGGGCGGTGCGGTCCAAGCTAGCAATTCATCGTTGGCGTAGATCGCCTTACCAGAGTAATGTTCCGTATAGTTTTCGCTTCTTGTAGTGCTGTAACGATTATGTCATGAGAGTGATAGCGAAATGGAGAACTGTCCTACGTGTCCCAAGTCCAACAACGTAGGGAACTGGAATACGCAACGATAGACAGACTGATCACTCACCCATTTGCTTCACTGAAATAAGTCTATTTTTGACATACACAAAAAACAAATTCTAAATTCGGAGGTAAGTTTAGATATGTCGTTTTAGCAAGCATATCATAGCCTACACGTTTGTTATGATGTTTATTCCGTCTATCTTTTTGTTAACATGTTTTCTTAACACGTTGACCCACAATGGTCGGTCGCCTCATCGTGGCGTGGGGGTGACACCGGGTGTCGAACTGCGATGCACAGCCGAGTGTATACTCTGGTAGGGCCTCCAAAGCTGTGAAGGAGTTCGACGTTTCCGGTTTCGGGTGGATGCCTAGCTAAGAACCGGCCACGCCAGATCCCCCGCCATCTGGCTTCTTCTGGTCGCTAGGCGGTCCCTCCCCGCTCCAAGCCCAGGGTCAGCGATCGCCCCGTGGAAATCAAGAGTAGGCCTAGTAAGCCACCTCTTGTAGGGGAAACTTCATATTACTCCTCCAGTTAGAAGATTAGAAAGAAACCCTGCACATCGTATCCCGCCTACGGCGCCGGGTGGTAGCAAGAACGATGTCAGGGTTCTCAGGGCGCCTTCGGATTGGACAAAAACGACGCGTCTGCCCGGACGACACGCCATGGAGACTGCCTCATGCTCTGCACCTACAACGCCAGGACAGTCTCCACAAACGCCAACCTCCACGCTCTTCTCGACGCTGCAGAGCACATCAACTACCACATCATCGCTCTGCAGGAACCGAAGTCCAGGAAGGACGTGCACAGATGAGTGATGGGACCCTCATCATTTGTGGTGAAAAGGTTCCATCACGAAACGTGGGAGGCGTCGGCTTTCGTCCACCCATCTATCGTCCATCTTGTCGATTCGCATGAGATCCTATCACCTCGACTAGGCATCCTACGACTACGCCCTCCACGTCAGAAGACCATCACATCATCAACTGCTACTCGCCAACATCAGCAGCTGACGACTCAGAACTAGATGCTTTCTACGAAGACGTGGAAGAGGTCGTCCGCAACGAAAAGTCCCTCTACAAGTATGTTGTGGGCGACTTCAATGCGAAAATCGGGATGCCACTAGAAAAGGAATATAGGATCGGGAAGTTTGGATATGGGCTCCGAAACAAAAACGGCAACCGTCTCGTTGGGCTTCTCTCCGCCGCACGACTCTTTATTGGAAACCCCATCTTCATGAAGAAAGAACATCGTCGGTGGACTTGGGAATCGCCCAACGGAACGACTCATGCTGAGATCGACCACATTCTCACCAACCGAAGGTGGAGCTTACTCGATGTCTCTGTAGTTCCATCCTTCTGTAGTGGCTCCGATCACCGCCTCCTTCGAGCGAAGATACGACTCAGCCGAAGGCTGGAAAAGAAAGTCTGTCATAGTGCCGCGAGAAGGAAGGAAGTCGTTTATGACGGTAACAGGCTGGAAGAGCTCATATCAAGTTGTGACTGGCCCATCGAGGAGGACCCAACGTACGACTACGACCGGCATCTGAAAGGATTGCGAGCCTGCGGAGAATGCGCCTCAGTGACTTCTGAGAAGAACTTGGAACGCATTTCGAAGACCACCAAGAAATTGCTCGAAAGAAGAAGATTTTTGAGGCAGGATCCGAATGCAACCCATCTCGAGCGATTGATAGCCAACGCCAGTTGCAGAACAGCTTTGCAAGAGGATCTCAGGAAGTACAGGCAAGCCAAGATACTGGAAGCAGCCGAAAGAAGACGAAGTCTCAAGAAGTGCCGAAGGGACCTCTGCGAATATCACGTACCGCTGGCTGCACTACTAAACGAAGACGGGACTCCGACTTCTTCCCGATACAAGATGGAATCTATCGCGAAGAACTTTTACACCAACCTCTTCCGCTCATCAACACCCGTGCAGATGCCCGTTGTTCCCACTGGAGAAATACCACCACGAATTCTACCTGCTGAAGTGCGTATCGCGATACAGACCATGAAGACGTCACGGCTCCAGGACCAGATCATCTTTCCGTCGAGCTTCTGCGAGCCGGAGGACACCGTCTACACGAGATTCTAGCGTCGCATTTGACATCTCACCTTCAGAAGGAGAAGATTCCCGACCAGTGGAGAACGTCAAGAACCGTCCTTCTCTTCAAGAAGGATGAACGGGAGGATCTTCGGAACTATCGTCCAATATGCCTGCTGAGTGTGCTGTACAAGCTTTTCACGAAGATTATCCTCGCTTGCATATCAAGGACACTGGATCAAGCCCAACCCCAAGAACAAGCTGGATTTCGCAAAGGATTCAGCTGCATGGACCACATCCAGACCGTTTCGAGGGTCATAGAAGTCTGAGTACCGATTGCCTCTCGTCTTAACCTTTGTCGACTACGAGAAAGCCTTTGACAGCGTCGAAACCGACGCCATCCTGTCTGCGCTAGTCGATCAAGGAGTGGACCCAGCTTACGTGAGGACGTTAGCCGACTGCTACAAGGACTGTACAACAACGATGGAGCTATTCCATCGCCCCCTGACCATACCAATCGGGAAGGGGGTCCGACAAGGCGACACAATCTCGCCGAAGCTGTTCACCGCGGCCTTGCAGTGGGTGACGAAGTCATTGGACTGGGACGAGAGAGGCATACGAGTTGATGGGAGATCCCTATCCAACCTTCGTTTTGCGGACGACATCGTTCTCTTCTCGAGCAGTATCACCGAAGCAGAGACGATGCTGAAGGAACCAAATGAAGTAGGGAAGAAGACCGGACTGCGGATAAATCGGAAGAAGACTCAGTTCATGAAGAACGCCCTTTGCGAAGATGCAGAAATGGAATTAAAAGGCACTCCTATTATGGAGACGTCTTCTTACGTGTATCTCGGACGTTCGATGAACATGGAGAACGACTTGAGGGAAGAACTTAACAGGAGAAGAAGAGCAGCCTGGGCCGCCTTCGGGCCTCTGAAGGAAGCCACCGATCAACCGACGGACCCGGAGCTTCGTGCCCACCTGTTCGACTCAATCGTTCTCCGGGCGCTCTGTTACGCACCTGAGACTTGGGCCGACACTGTGGCCACGTCGAAAGCTCTACGGATCACCCACAGAGCGCTCGAGCGCAGTCTTCTGAAGATGACCCGACGCAAGCAACATCTAGTCGGACTTCGCAGCACGGATATGAGAAGAATGTCCCGTCTTCGTGACCCAGCGGAGTACGTTGCGAAAGCCGAACACCGATGGGTCGGTCACATAATGAGAAGAACAGACGACAGATGGACACTAAGAACATATGAGTGGATTCCTCGCGAAGCCAAACGTCCTCGAGGGAGACCACCGACGAGATGGGCAGACGTGTTCGTGGAACGGACGGACCAGCTGAGAAATCAGCTGGATACGACTTTCGCCCCTGGAACGCGGACGCAGCCACCGACGACGGCCAAGAAGATTGTGGATGTCTGAAGCGAGGGACAGGGAAAATTGGCAATCTGTACTGGGGCCCGCACGTCACGTGAGGAGGGGCCATCTAAGTACCTAAGTAAGTAAGTAAGTAACACGTTGACAACGAGCCATTTTTTAAAGGTCTGCCCCAGTGGACGAGGAGTTTCCGTGCATCTCTACGCCTGAATGCATGTATGTATGCATGCACATCTATGCGTGAAATATACAAGCTAGCGTACAAGCTCCGCCCCTTGTAGCCAGCACCGCCCACCCAATCAAAAATGCCGGAAGTTGCCCAGACAAGAATTCATGTGATTTCCGCCAATTTGAATAATGGCGAAGCTTGCCTGACGTCGGGCGGGGCCTTGACCAAAGTTTTTGAGGCTTTGCGTTCATCTAAGGCCTCTCCTATGCTTTTTGTACACAGGATCCTTGGGAGAGGCGGAGGGGGCGGGTCTGCCAAAAGGGGCGGGGCTACCATCTTATATATAAAGCTGAATGTCTGTTTGTCTGTCTGTATGTCTGTCTGTATGTCTGTCTGTCTGTCTGTCTGTACGTATGTTCCGAATAGAAAATTCCATTTCTGAACCGATCCGGACAACTTGGCACACATGGACTACGGGGCCCGGCTGGTGTCATAGGCTACTTTTCGTCATCGATCGATATCGATTTTATCGATTTTTTGCAAAATTTGAGCTACGGGGCTGGGAGTTGGCACAGGGGGGTAATCGAGCATGCTGATTACGAATACAACATTAGTTTTTAAAATCGTGCATTACTTTTATCGATTTTATTGATTTTTTTGCAAAGTTTGAGCTACGGGGCTGGGATTTGGCACAGGGGGGTAATCGAGCATGCTGATCACCCCCGTGGGGGTGATCAGCATGCTCGATTACACCCCTCTGCCAAATTCCAGCCCCCTAGCTCAAATTTTGCAAAAAATCGATAAAATCGACATCAATCGATAACGAAAAGTGGACTGTGACACCCGCCGGGGCCCGAAGTGTATGTGTGCCAAGTTTGGTTCGGATCGGTTGAGAAATGGAATTTTCTATTCGGAACATACGGCGGAGCCGGGTATGCCAGCTAGTATAAAATATATTTGAGCATATGTTGGTTATATGAACACAGACTGAGAGGATTGGTCAGATAGGATTGAAATTAAGGCCGCCGCGCATCATTGCGCGGCATTGTAGTCAACTTATTAAGAAGCCAGAAAGATCAGCGGTCTCCTAACCTTCTTATTATTAGTATTAAATATTTTTTCTTAAAATTAAGTCACCAAAACTAAACTCAATAGCCTTCTGAAATCATTTTCTCAATATCTAAGGGTTATAGGACCGCAAAGCGAAAAGCATACCAACAATTTTTTTGCATGGCGTGGCCAAAGATAGAGTCCCTCATAAAATTTTTATTAGGCACATATGTTCAAAAAAGAAAAAGCAAAACGCCAAGTTTGAGACCTTCCATAGGACCTTCAAAAAAGGCACTATTGCAAAAATCTCTATTGGAGATGTTTAAAAAAATGTAATAGCTTACGAAAGTGATTACAAAACGATGCTTGAGCATCATGATCAAAAGGCACCATCCACCCAGATTTTCGAATTCATATTTTTGTCGTTCCGGGGCCTTCTCATATCTCTGATTCCGAATACGATCGAGAATCCGCGAAAACCCCGCCATCCCCGTACCGGAGAAGTCAAGAGCGTGTTGAATGGCGGTTTGGACGAACACGGATGGGCAGGCACTACTGCAGGTGGGGGGGGGGGGGGGTGGCGCCGAGGGGTCCTTTGCTTTCTTCATAGTTCCGAAGCGACTTTCTGGCTTTCAAAGCGACATTTTGGGACACGACTTAGCCATTGGCTTGATAGGGGTCCTACTATCGTATACTGCCAAAAGCTCAAGACCCTTAACTTAGGGTTAGGGTGGACGGTGCCTTTGAAAACCTACGAAATTGCTGGATGAATACAAATACTTACGTTACACTTCTAGTGCGTGTTACATCCCAGCTAGTGTACGCAAGTCCTTCAAGGATGATCTTTAGCGCTCGAGCCTAAAAACAAAACGAAATTATTCCTCTTCGGCTCAGAAACACTTTACAATACCAGTCCATTTAGAACAGCCAATATAAACCACCAACATAAAGATCAATCACCTTCATTGGCTCATGTAGAACAAGATGAGCTATTCCTTCAACCATCGACCCAGGAATGTAAACAGCATCAGAATTTGAGAAGGTAATATAGAGTAAACTGTCGGGCATGTTCAGTCTGCAACATTTGTGAGTTAATCATTTGTAAGTTGTTGTTTCCTTCGGAAATAAAAGGTGTTGTTTCCTTCGGAAATGGAAGGGTCTGCGATAAGGTTCGATACTACGCTAGAAGCATTACCTCATTCAAGGACAAAGGAAAGTTATTCCACATTCGCGAAACCAAATATACACTCTCGACCATACGACCCACTGGTGGGTCGTACGTGTTTTGCCATTTCGGACAGTACGACCCACCGGTGGGTCGTAGGATTTGTGAAGCTCTAGCTTGCCAGTTTACGGTGCAATTCTACGGGTTCTGGCACATGATTGGAGACAACTGGGCACTGCAACGTAATGTTACAGTAGGTAAATCGTAGACTGAGATCACGACACGGACTACCTGAAATTCTTAGCAGGATGATGCTGTTACTGAAGATTTAAGTGACATGCACGAGAAATACGGGGCGGCAAGAGACTGACGTTGGCCCATCACGAGATTATCACTTTTATTGATTTTATTGATTTTTTACATTGTCCATCCTAGCTCAAATTTTACATATATAGGTTTGGTAGCATGCTGACTAAGAGGATGACACTGTCAAGTTCTGACACCGCCTTCTTACATCAATCTTTTGATTTTTACGAAGTCTACCGTACTGCTACCGTAGCCCCACTGAGGGAAGTAATGAACAAAGTGGACACTATAATTGTGGTCAGCACGTGAAATAACTCCAAAACACAATTTTCTTAAAATCCATGATGTTGGGTTCGTAAAGAATTACTACCGCAACCTTATCGTATAATACCAGAAACTAAAAAAATGATATTTTGATAATCAGCGCCTTAACCTTTCTGAAGAAATCGGAGACATATTTTAAATCTCAAGAAAACTACCATCTCGGACAATATGACTCGCGGGTGGGTCGTAAATCTGATAAAGCGAAAAGGACTTTGGTCCGAAACGGCAGTAACGAAAAATCGGCCTTTCCTGAATGTGTTAAATGTATTAATTGGATTGCTCATGAGATTCTGGCTTCTCAATAATGCGGTAATACCGTATGATTTACATGGTCTTCAACATGTGTTCAATAATTCGTCTATTTCAGCTCCTTTTTTGCAATGATTGCTCCAAAACAATGACTTATACATATGAAGTTCAGGAGCAATGAATAACGCATATCCTGTATTACAAAATGCTATTATGAACTTCTTCAGCAATAAGAGGGTTTTTCTAAAAAAAATCTGTCATTAAGCATTCTTCTTCCACACTGAAGGATTACTGATGCTAATACGATGACATTCGCTTCTTAGTTCGCGTTGTAGCAATTTGGCAGGAGCTCAATTCGCCACTTTTTCTTGAGGGAACGAATTTGCGTTCATGCGCTGATTGCTGCAATATCTAAGCTTTGATCCAACTGACTTGCGGCTGGAAGGTGGGCTTCGTGACCCGATTAAAGCTAGGTAGTGATCAAAGAGCATGCGCGAGGAGAGACGCAGACTGCGTCGCGGGCGCGAGCTGCCTCAACCCTTTCGGACCTGGTGGTGGCAATTGCCACCATCAATTCAGAGGCCTCCTGTACTGCAGAATGTTTTACTACTCATTGCTATAGAACGCTTCATATAGCCTTTGCCTTCCAAATATAGCTTTGAAATCGCATGTTCATCTGTTTTCCTGTCAGCAATATATACATTTCTGAATACAAGTCGATTGCAACCAATCAATACTTTGCGCCGGTTTCGACACCGTTTCAGTATCTCCTTTACTAGCCAGAAAATAATCATAATATTATGAGAATGTTTGAGTGCAATGGGGGGGGGGGGCGGGCGTTAGGTACCCAGCCGAGGTGCGGGCGTTAGGTACCCAGCTATTAGAGGTATACATTAGGCCACGCCCCTTGGTTGCTTTTACAGCGGGTACCTAACGATATACCGAATCACAGCTGCTAGAACAGCTCAACTTGCTCGTTAAAGCTCTGGCGCTTGCGACCCACATAAAAAAGATAGTTGGAGGATATCCAAAAAGAAAAATTGCGCGAATGAAAGCACAAGTTTGTATACAAAGTGTTTTCTATTGCTTCTTATTTCAACCAATTTTAGAACACAGAATGTCGGTGATGAAAGTTAAATACAGGGTTAAGCTTCTATGAGCCCTTCATAAAATTTTACGAAAGAAATTGTGAAAATATGATCTAACTATGATGTCAACGGAAATTTCAAAAAAGTAAACTTTTTAGAATTGTAACAAACCAAAATTGTATGATTCCAATGAAGCAAAGTGCACTTTCGGAGATGCTCCTAGCAAATAAGTTACAGGAATATTTCTTACACATATTGTCGTCGGCCTCTTTTGAGGTATGAAGTTAAGGGTCGTTACCTTTGCGTTAATATTGCAGGTACTGTAAACAACATCATCGTAGATTATTAAGGCCATTACTCGGTCATTGCTGGGGCCAACAGATTTATGGGACATTACATTGACACACATTTTTTCTTTATATTGAAAGATTTTACATCCCGTATAAAAATTTCATTGAGCTACTATAGTCTATCATGCATATGTTTTCAGTAGTGCTTTTTATGAAGGAATTTCATATTGCAGTTTTTCATAATCTTCTTTTATAACAGCCAAGATATGATCAATTTATCTAACTAAAGCTATGAATTTTTTTGTAACTCACTGAAAAGCGAAAGATTTCGTCAATAACTGCTCTCATAGAGTTTCTTTATTCTTTCTGTTTCATTCTATTGTCACACACTCATCCGAAATTGGCATAGCTTTATAACGTAAATTTTCATTGATTTGAACAGATCTAGTGCCCTACCTATAAATTGATGGGTCACATACTCCTCCATAAAATTCCGATGAAGTTCTCGTCGAAGCTTTTCTGCCAATCGGTTTCACTTCCCATTGTCAAGAATATATTTGAAGCAGTCTCTTGAGGCTAAGAAATATTTCTTGCAATTTGTTTGCCAGGGGCATCTCCGAAAGTGCGTTTTGCTTCATTAGAATCACTTTTGTTTATTGGAAATCTATTATCGGTTAGATCAGATTATCACAAACTCTTTTGCAAAACTTTATGAAGTGCTCATAAAAGCTTTACCCTTTTTTCAGATTTCATCACCAAATTTCTGTGATTCTAAAATTGTTAAGAAAACAAGCAATAAGCTTGTACAAACTTGCGCTTTTATTCGCGCAATTTTTCTTTTTGGATATCCTCCAACTATCTTTTTTACGTGGGTCGCAAGCGCCAAAGCTTTAGCGAGCAAGTTGAGCTGTTCTAGCAGCTGTGATTCGGTGTATCGTTAGGTGCCCGCTGTTAAAGCAACCAAGGGCGTGGCCTAGTGTATACCACTAATAGCTGGGTACCTAACGCCCGCACCTCGGCTGGGTACCTAACGCCACGCACCCAGTGCAATGTTGAGCAAGTCTAACTGCTAATTGTTCGCGGGTCCACGTGTATCGAGGGAGATTTGAGAATCCAGAATAAACGCAAAACTAAAAGATTGAAAAATTAAAAAGAAATAGTTTATACAGTTGAAAAGACTTCAAACTCCATTATAAGGTCATTCATGTGGTAGTGAGTATAAAACCAGGGCTCCGCACGGGGTGGCTAGATGAAAATGCAAAAAACGAAGTCCCCCTTGACTTTTGGGTATTTTTACGAAGTCCCCTTTGACCCCCCACCATATTCCCTAAAAATCCTCCAAACAACGAAACGTCGACCAAAAAAAACGTCGCCAAATCGCCAAAGTTCGCGTGTCTCTTCGGTCACAAAAACGAAATTCCCTTTGCTTTTTGCCCCAAAAACGATATCCAGCTTGCTTGTAAGCCACCTCGTGCCGAGCCCTGGTATAAAACAGTGAGAGTGAGGCTTCTCTGCTTACTCGGAAAAACTCAGGTCCTAAAGGGTTAATAGGTCACAAAGCCTCGCCTTCCAGCCGTCAAGCCAAATGAATCAAAGGGTACTTGCCTATTGTGAACTTCAGTATTCAATATATAACGTGAGAAATCAGGGAGGATCGTGAACATAATGATAATACCAAGACTGGAACACTAAAAGCAGCGCAAAGAGAATTATGAATTCAGTCGCAAATAGCGACAGCCAGTGAGACTTAGCGGGAAAATCAAATATCATCCCTTAAACAACTATTGTGGGGCCCAAAAATGACTAGTCTCAGAAAAAAACTAACCAAAAAAACGAAACGAAAAGAAAAGCGAAACTAACCAACTAACAATCACACTTGCAAACGTAAGTTAAAGGTTCAACGCTAGGTTTCCATGTCAACTGCCTATTGCGCTCCACTTTATCAAATCAACATCTGAGATCAAAGACTTTTGAGGAGGAAATCAACAAATTTGAGTGCTTGCGAAACGCTAGTGAAAGGTTCGACAAGAATCCGAGGCATGTGACCCGCAGGAAATGTGACTCATGGTTTCCATAGATAAGAGCATGAGTTACGCACAATGACGAAGATGTGATGTAATTGTTTGCAAAGTCAAAAACGCTTATGGGAATGATAAGAGATTTCGAAACGAGCCGAGTTTACGCAATCAAGCTATGTAGGAAAGCTGATTCATACAAATTACTCGATTCTCCCGATTTGTTCAATAAATATGTGGAAATAAAAGTCGCATAATTTATTGGCATTACCAAAAAAACAAAATGGGACTACATATAGATCACAGAAGCAAAGGTCAATGATGTATACTCATTTCAGATACATTTTAATGCTAATAAAAAAAACTTCACCTCGTACAATTATCACTAATGCGGAAGATGGAATAAATCACAATCTTATCTCTTTTTGCGAACAACAAAAACACAATTGTTTTAAATCTTAAGGTTTTCAACTGCTGAAGCACGGTCCGTCATCCATTATTTATTTCCATTCCTGGATGATGTTCTCTCATGTGACGTTCAAATCTAGCAACACAATCCTGCTGGAAGTCGCGTTCACATGATTCGAAATACGCGAAGCGATACAGAACCTGGAGGTACGGAGGGATTACTGTGACCTCTGCCACTACAAATCAGAGCTTTCATTTGGTCATATCACAAAGATTTCTTCCGTCCCAATGCGGAAATACGTTTGGGGAGAGAATTATTGGCGAGAGTACGTGAGAAGAGGGGAGAACAAAACAAAAAAAATATTCGCGTCGGCACGATTCAGCCTATGTCATAGATTCAAAAAACAACTAGGTGCTGGCGAAAACTATGAAAAAAATTAAGGCCAAGAGAAGTTCCAAATTGTGATGCGACCATAACCCCGATTTGGAAGAGATATAAAAGATGCCAAACTAACCAAGAAGACCAGAAGATGCAAGAAAAGTAGGTAGAAGAAGAATGTCATGCGTGCTGATGGAGACGTCATTATCGCTTTTCCCTGAATCTCATTCACGTTTACACATGAAAATTGAAAAACTCAAAATCGAAAAACTTGCAAAAAACAGTTCTTTTGTACATGAATTTTCGGTAATATTCGAATATGTGAAAAGAGGTCTATACTCACAATGCTCAACGATGCTCGGTCGTGCAACGGTAGGCGTGCATAGCTTCTCTGCGTCTCTGCCTGTCCAAACCTTTGAAAAGGATCCAGTCGCTTCTCATATTGGGCACTGTAGCTACTTTCTTCTGGCAGTGGGACACTAGTTTCAGCGGATTTACCTCCTCAAACGATAAATTGTGAAAGAAAAGAAGATACATACTGGGAGTGAAACTTACCGTAACCTTGCAAAAACTTGATCTTCCCATATAGCTTCACATTATCCTCGCGAAGTTTGTCAATTTCCGACTGCAGCACGCCATGATTTGTCTTCTCGGCCATTAATTCCTAAAATTCTCTTTATTCACTCTTATAGACTCAGCATCATACCACACCAACCTCTTCCAAGACTCCAACACGTAGTTTCAAGCGATCTCTTTGTGCTAGAACGATAGTGAAGACGCTATTATTATCACCTTCAATTTTAGTTTCGTGAACGGATCCCAGCATTTCCATAGTTGTCAAATCATCGTCGAAAGTTTTCTGAACAATCAAGATGGCAATCACGGAGCTTATGTAGACAGTTTTTGATTTGGCTCTTATTCAACCGCACATTTTCACATATAATCCTGTAAGCCTCTTTAGATAAAGAAAATCAGATTATATAGTATTACTTTAAAAAAAAACTCTGTTTCCAAAAATTAAGCATTTAAAGCTGTGAAAAGTAAATAAGTAAATATGGTTTACCTTACATGAATTGAAAACACCCAGAACTTAGTAATATAAAACTTCTCATTCCCTGTATCAAATCTAATTAGAGGTACTAATGGCATATGTCCCACAACACCCAGAAAAAAGTTTCTATATCATTGCGATATTCATCCACAGGGCTCGACACGAGGTGGCTTTCCGGAAATGCAAAGACGAAGTCCTCCTTGATTTCCCAAAATTTTAGGAAGTCCCCCTTGACCCTAAACATAAACGGAAAAACCCTCAGAAAACGAAAAGTCGACTAGAAACGTAATCTAAGCTGTTTTTTTAAGCACAAAACGATATCCCTTTGGCATTTTGTCCCAAAAACGATATCCAGCTTGCCTATAAGCCACTTGTGCCCAGCCTTGTTCATCCAGCAGGTGCTCCAACCCACAAAAGATCGAAACTATGTCTTTCTTCGCAAACAAATTAATCTTCAAAAAATGATAGCATCCCAAAGTTGATTCACAGTTATTTGCAAGGAATTTTCGAAACATAGTCACCGTGTTTCCGAAAAAAATCTCCTTGCGAAATCGCAGGTCGTCTTTGATGCAGATTTTTGCCTCCTCGACAGAAAGTTTCCTCCAGCTTCGAAAAATGGGAGCTCTTCTTATTATGCATCATATTATCAAGTGTGATTCCAAAAACAGCGCAAAAAATGCTTTCAACATGCACAAATATAGCATTTTGGGGTATTTACTCAGGCAAAGGTGAACATGAGTGACGAAGTGACCATGCGCGCTTCACATTCAAGAAAGTTGGAGCGGCAGACTGTAAGTAAGCATTAATTTTGCAGATTTTCATTTAGTATGGGTACCCAGCAATCAGTGCCGAATAAAATTTATGATTCAAAATAGGTATGTTTAAAGCGGGAAAAAGCTCATTTCTGGAGCTGCCTACTAGTAAATTTTTGCACAGCTCTCAGAAGAATGATCTGCACCATAATCATGCTTTTGAGTTTCAAACCAAACACTAACAAAGATAAAGCACAAACACAACGAACATTCTGTCCAGCAACGGCTGCAGCCAAATCCGCTTCCAACTTTTCGACCAACTCTTTCTGCGTCGCATTTTCGCCTCGAAGTTGGTTCAACTCGAATTCGTTCCTTGCCAATGTATCTGAAATATAAAAAGCACATCACAACAGCCACAAGCAACATGCTCTCACTTCGCACTTTCTCACACAACTCTCACATCGTGCAGCTACAGCTTCAGAACAAAGCACAATACAGGCAAAGGCATATCACGAAGAACAAAAAATATTCTGAATATTTATGAAAACCTCAAAGAAAAAACAGCAGAGATCATTAATGACAAGAGAATTAAGAGCAAAAACAACGTACACAAAGAGATCAGAACAAAAAACGAGATTGATGAATTTACACCAGTAAACCGAGATCGCAAGACTAGGGTAATAGTTGGAGGGCAAGGATTAAATGGAATGACGACAAAGGGCATAATGTGATTGACTAGTGACAAACTACCGAGGTATACTAATCAATAAATTATTAAGAATTCTTGAATAGATCACTAGTCTCTGGAATTGGCAACGGAAAGTGAATCTTAGCACAGAAAGTGTAAGCGCTTAGCGCATTTGGGACAACCAACATATGGGAATGGAGTAAGGGGGAAGGTGAGGGGGCTAATATGGCCACTTCAAGGTTTTCTATCCCACAGACAATTGGAAAAAACCACAAGAAAATAAATATTCTGCAGATACATGAAGTCACGACAGCATTGTTGGAACACAGATGAAAATTTTGCACTTCGGAAAAAACACTGCGTCTGCTACCCGAGCAGACGACTAGTTGCAAGATCACAAGTATAAACGCTCATGTCAAAATATTACAGTAAAAATGAAGGGAAAGCAAGCCTCAAGCGGTTTTCGAAGCAGCCAACATGCGCATTTTAGCAACTGCGCGATCCAGCTGACTTGCTTTTTCGCTACGTTCTTCTGGTGAGAACAACGGTGACGGCGACGTCGTCGCCGTTGACGTCGTCGTTGGAGGATCATCGTTTGAGAATAGGATGGACGAGTTAGCACGTTCATCACCACTAGTGGTAAAGAGAGGTGCAGCCGGAACGGGTACCATAGTTGGTGGTGAGTCATCCATAAGTGAGAAGCGAGAAGCATTTTCAAGGATGGAGTGCAGATCCTGAAGAAAACTTGCAGAATTTGATGAAATTTGAGAAAATTAAGACTTGAAAAAAGCAAAAAATAACTTTTCCAAGCATTCATAAGAAACAAGTAAAGGTAAGATTAGGTATTCAAGAGGATCAAAATGGTATGAATGACTATTACAAGGATCAAAATAATGTAAGGCAATTCCGCAAAAGGAAGAAGGACAAGCAAAAAAACTGAAAACATACCTGCTGCCAATTCTTGCTCGTTGGCAAACTGCCAACTGCTGGCGGATACACCTTTCCTTCTTTCATGCTCGCCTTTTGTCTTGTGCGATGATTATGGAACCAGTTGTTCACGGTTCGGATATTGAGATTTAATTTCAGCGAAAGCTGTAATTGATTGAATTTTATGCTAATATAAACAAAGGCATGGCAAAAGATCTCACAAGCTCGACAGTTTTCTGGCTAGGATGGTGTTCATGCTGGAAGACAAAACGTAAAGCTTCCTTCTGCTGCTCTGTGATGATGGTGCGCTGTAAATAGGAACTTTAATTTTGCAAATGACACACCATGTTTTTTTTTAACTGTAAGTTCTATTATAGCTGAGCTGAAAGAAAAAGAAGAATGCAGAAAAAAACTTCCATACTTCTCCACCAGGAAAGTTATCAAAATTGAGAAGATGACAATTTAAGACAATGAATGACAAAACAACAAAAATTACCTGCACTTTGCGGGGTGGAGGTTCATACGGCGGATCTGATAGTCTTTTTATTGTTCCGTTCGCAAAATTTTTCTCAAGCGGTAGTCCAGTATCCATCTGCAACAAAAACTGGAAATAAAAAATAAAAACTACAATATAATAATAGTAATAATAAATGATTAGTTAGATAAAATATAACAATAAGAATTAACAAATATCAATTACTAAATTTGGAACTCTGAAGGATGAATTGAATTTACCCGCTCCTTCACGAGCAGCCTCTGTACTGCATCTTTGTCGGCTAACCAAGTCCTCATTTTCTCGTACGGCTCTCGCCCTCTTACCGAAAGCGTTGACCATCGTCGCGGACGTAAAAACAATTCCGAACAGCCGCCAGCGGATATACCAAGAACCGCTTCGCCAAACAACTAAAATTACACGAACTTTACTCTTTCAACTGAGACAACCAATATCCTCACCCTCTGTGATATTCCATGCAAATGCAGCCTATCCTTGACTTTTCTCACCAGCAACGCGGTGTCGACAGCTTCACCTTCGCCACCGGTTTCGAATTCCGCCGTATCGCTGAGGCTAACCGTATCAAACTCAGATCTCGGCAGTGCAATAATATCGTCATCTTCATCAGGCACTTCTCTCTTTACATTTATCACCGGGGATGTAGAAGGCTCTTTTGAAGACTCGTTCATTGTTGATACTTTAGCTTCTTCAGCTGAAAACAAGCAATTGTAGGCATCAGCAGCCAAACGATAAAGAAAGTTTTTACCTGGAGTTTCTAAAACGACTTTCTTCTCCTCAACTGCCTCACTTCGAGCTTTGTTAGCCGACTGGGACACTTCGCGCATGAACAATTTCATGCGTATAAAAGGTTCACGACCTTTCTGAGTGAGCATATTCCATTGTTTGGGACGGGCGAGTAGGTCAGACACAGACCCCTGAAATTCATAGAATGTTTGCTGCGAAGTATTAGGTTGGTCCGAAAGTTCTGTCCCACCATTTCCAAAAAATCGTAACTTTTTCCTAACACAATGTTTTTGCAAGAGTAAAACCACATTGAATACAGCAACTCATGCACTTTCTAAAACTACCTTGGCTGCTCTCTACTAAGCTCTGAAAGCAGAGATAAAATTGGGAAAACGAAATCACTTCGAGTTCGAAATTTTCAAGCAAGCCCGTTAAAAATCTAGAACTGTGCCATAAAATCCAAAACAGCCAGTATCCTAGACTATTTTGCCCCCTATTTCTGGCTGAGCAAAGTTCGCGCCGATCTAGCTGTTTTCCGAAAAGTTATGATTTTTTGAAACAAATGTCAAAAAATCAATTTTCTTAAGAAACTGATTTTTTGGCATTTTTTCTTAAAAATCATAACTTCTTTCAAAACGGCTCGATCAGCGTGAATCTTGCTCAGCTGGAAAGAGGGGATCAAAAAACCTAGGATACTGCCTGTTTTGGATTCTATGACACACTTTTGGATTTTTCATCGGGCTTGCTCAAAAATTCCGAAAGTGAAGTGATTTCCTTTTTCCAATTTTTTCTCTGCATTCAGAGCTTAGTGAATAGCAGCCAAGGTAGTTTTAGAAAGTGCACGAATTGCTGTTTTCAGTGTGGTTTTACTCTTGCAAAAACATTCTGTTAGGAAGAAGTTACGATTTTTTGAAAATGATGGGACAGAACTTTCGGACCAACCTAATAATATCCATATTCAATGATGAAAATGATTTTTTTTTCTAGTGAAAGACAATGGAAGTTGAGGTCAGAATAAATGATAGATTATAAATAGTTCATTCATGCGTATGTCACAGCAAAATCGCAAACAGAAGTATCACGAAAAGAGTCAAGAAAGGTTGATGTATAAGGAAAAACAGCTAAAGCAATTTAAACTTGACAACAAACAAAAGTGTGAGAATAATTACCTGGCTCAATCCTAGCACATGCTCGCCAAATTGTCGCTGTGAGATCGAATTCATTGACAGGAATTCCTTTATCTGAATAAAAACGCTTGTATGACAGTAAGCAACAGGATTATCTAGAGATAAAGAAATTTGATGGCCGGAGCTTACCTGTCTCACTACATCTTCAGTGTCAATGTGTCCAAACATCTCAAACTGATCTTGGGTTATTGGTGTCAATCCCACTCGCATACGCGCACTCATAACCTAAGATTAGAAATCAGCTGATTTCGTACTCAAGATAACAGTGATGGAAAAGGGAAAATGTAATAGATTTTAAAAATCAAAACCCACCTGATGTGCATGGCTAATGGATGCCATTCTTTCATTATGTGACATCTCATGATATGAGGGCGCTGCATCATCATTCTGTAATAACATTTTGTGAAAACCATCAACAAGTAAAAGAATCTAGTTGAAGTTCAAATCTACGGCCGTTGATTAGGGCAAAATGCAACAACTGGAATAAAAAAAACCTTGAGAATTACAGATTGCCGCAATATTGCCATATTTTCGAATGCAACATCACAACTTGATAGGGTGGTCAATTGCAAGAGCAAGCTTTAAGCAGTTATGTTCCAAGATTTTTTAGGAAATTGGGGGGGGGGGGGGCAGACGCAATATCAAATAAAGAGGCGTGGCTTTAGCAACGATTTCTGGAAATCGAACTGTTTTGAATTTTCGCAGGCCCATACTCCTAGGATCAAGGAAAAAAAGCTATAGGCCGTCCGCGCAGGGCGCGGAGAGTGCGCAAGGTGTGTATTGCGCGTTACTCCTCTTTCCTCGTGCACTCTCGCCGCCTGTTTTTCTCTGCGCTTCTTCCAGTCGTGAACTGCCTTCAATGTACGCAACAGCGTTGCTCTCCGTGCGCAGCGCGGACGGCCTATAATTTGAACTCCAAAAACTCAAAAATTTTGATTATTTACAAATAAGAAAAGTCGCTGGCATCTCAAAACCGTGAACTTCAAAAGTGCCAACCCCCCCCCCCCGCCTCCCCTCTGGAGTTTCCACTGACTGTAGCTGTAATCACGCAGAAGAATCTTAGGGACCAGTTCTCGCTACACTTCAATAATGTATGGGGATGACAGGAGCAGAATTTGGTAGCAACCAAAGACTTTGCTTTTGGCCTACCTTTCTCACATGTCCACCACCAAAAGATCGCGTCGCTATGGCTCTTTCTAGTGTGGATTCCTAGAAATACGAACTCAAATGACCTAGACGCTAGAAATCATCGAAAATATTCTACCTGCTCCCTCAACTTGGCCAACTCCGTCTGGAATATACTCATAATTTTCTCTTTCGGTATGTCATCATGTCGCCAGCGACTATTACGGGTGGTTGAACCAGCATTAGCGGCTTGATTAGTGCCCGCAAGGCGATACTGTAATGATGACTACATCAACATATTTAGCAGCATTTTCTGGGTAAGATCTTCTGCAAGTACCTGGTCTTCTCTGGCGCTCGCCGCCCTTTTGAAGGAGTTCTCATCAGGTTCTTCAGGTGGCAGCAACGCACTATTGCTTTCCCACAAGGATTCGGGGGATGGATGTTCGATGCGGACTTCTGGAAGATTACGGTAGACTTCACTTCACGAATAAAAAAAGATGTATAAAATCACCACTCGGCCACACACGACGAGGGCTCAGCGAGCAAAGAAGATCCACAGCTTCAGCGTCGGAGATCCAACCATAGATTCTACGAAACGCTTCTCGACCCTTGTCGGTAAGCTTGCTCCAGTGTCGAGGTTTTGACAGCAATTCGCTCAGCGATCCTTGAGACTGAAATTAGGCATGGGTAGGGTAGCTTTAACTTATGACATAGCAACAAAATTTTTTGAGTGAAAAAAAATCACAAAAGAGAAAGATTTGACGGAATGCAGTTGCAGGAACATAGTTTTCGGGGATTAGAAGGGATGTCAGATCTGGCAAAAAGGGGTGTGGCACAGACATGCGCTCAAAGCATTATAAGGTGGAAAATGCGGACGAATTATTTCTGACCCATGTTAGTTTCTTTTTTATTATCCTTGTTCTTATGAAAATCAGAAAACAAGAAAACCATCCTTTTTTGTGTATTCCCCTCGTCCAACTCATCTGCTGAATTTTCTTCTACAACACAGCACACTTCTATACTCATCCTTCCCGCAAACGGTCGGCAGCTCTGACCTATACCATCCACCACGGGTAGGACCAAGAAGACAAGGTGGAAGAAACCGTGGCTGATCCACTGCGTCTACTTGGTCGAGAAGTCATGGACAGCGCAATGTCACGAATGCACTGGTTGGCGCGAGCAAGAATATTCCTGTCATCGAAGACGATCGAAGTTGAAATCGCCCAACTCAAGCCATAAACGGAATCATCGCGGTACTAATTGTATATGACCGCTGAGGATGAATAAATGTATGTATAATGTATGTATCACAGCAACATACTCTTTGAAAAAAGAAGTCAGAATAGATAAAAAAAAAACTGACAGAATGCAGTCGTATAAAAATGACTTTGAAGGAGAGGGATCGCCAAAAAATCAAGCCAAAAAGGGGCCTAACATTAGCATTGTGCTTGAAATTTTCATTTATGGGGTCAAAAGTTGATTTTTAAAACTGGCAAACTAGTGTCTATAAAGCAACATTTCAATTTTATTCTCAGCCCCCCCCCCCCCTCCCAACCTCTCTGCTGGATATTTTTTGGCTCCTGCAACTGCTTCCGCAAAACAAACTTCACAACCACCTCACAACATTGAACAGCCCATTAGCAAGCAGAAAGCGCTTCACCTTGACTACCTGGTTCATGACGTATTTTGCAAATAGTCGTTGTCCAATATTATACGCCACCATCAAGCGTTTACACTGACGCGCGATTTCTGCCGTGTTCAACGCGCGACCGCCCAGCGCGCGCACGTTAGCAGCAACGCGGATCTGGAAAAAGTCATCAACTTTATCTTGATCCGGAAGATGATCAACTACAAACCTGCAAATCCTGAATCGCCTTGAGCTCCTGTGGGGTCTTCGCGGGTTCACCCGTATAATTCGTAAGCTTCGGTGAGTAGCGAAAATGCTCGAACGGAATTTCGGACGAAGGTGAGCGATCTCGTTCAGAAGGGCGACGATGATGAGTTTGACCATTATTCTCTGTCTTTGTTGATGGAGTAGTCACTGGTGCTCCCATGTTCTGCAGAAGAGAAAAAACACTCCAGAAGTACATAACCTTACAATAACATTACAAAAATGTGCTCACCATTAATATTTTGTACAAATTCTGTTCAGTTTCTGTATTGGCTTTTGCTTCCTTCAACGGATCTGGCGCTTCTGTCCTGAGAATTTGACGAATCTAAAAAACAAGTACGTGGTGCCAGCTATGCGCCCGAAACATTGATTATGAAGTTTATTATACGGAAATTTGGCGTAAACGGCACATGGATCAAACACCCTAATTTTTACAGCTCAAAAGGGAAAAATAAGGCTAAAATATGGCCAAAGCGGACTACACGCAAGCAATTTTTTGTTCAGGCAAAATTTATCGATTTATGAATCATTCGCTTACATTTTCCTGTTTTCAAATGCTTCGCACTTTCAGTGAGTAAACAGGCCATTGTACATTTGAATCGCAATGATCGTCCATAAAATTAGGCCACGAGGTCGAAATTTTGGATGTGTGAAACAAAAAGGGATGTGGCGGGGAGGGGGGGGGGGGGAATATGGGAGGTGTAAAAGTGTGCAAGTTCTTCTTCCCTATATAAGACATTGATTTGAATGTACATGAAGATCGCAAAGCATAAAACGAATAGGACAGAGAAAGGAGGGGGGGTGGAGGGGGAGGAGGGAATATGCAAGTTTGTTTCTCAGTTAGTTTCAACACTGAACCTTGTCCGTTTTTGGATCAGTGAGCAGATGAGTGAGAAAAGTTCAAAGCAAAAAGCGGCGTGGCACTGAGCCAGATAATGGGGAGGGACATTATGCAATTTCTCCCTTTTAGTCTAGCCAAACCGAACAATTTTTACTGGTTTACAGAAAGGAAAATTACTTAATGAATTACAGCAAAGGGCGGCGTAGGACATGAAAAAGGGGTGGGAGAAGGGAGGAGAATGCAAAAAATTATAAAATGTTATATGACCAAAATCAAACACAGCTCCTCACCTTTTCAGCATCCTTGTCCACATAATTCTCGGCGACTTCACGTCCAACCTTGGTGCTTACAGCCTCTACCACAGCATGATGACTTCCAGCCAAAATGGCCTGCATAACTTCATCGCCTAAAACCTCATTTAGGGGCTCCTAGGCTCAAAAATTTCGCTTCCACGTGACGATAAAAAATCGAACAGCACAAAAAAGAATCAAAGTACAATATTATGTCACACATGCAAGAAATATCAAGATACGTAGCTGCACGACAAGTTTCTCTCTTTCTCTCCATGCGAAAAGACTAAACGAGAACTGGTCCTCGACTCACCCTGATACCGCTCATTAGCTTGTCGCAATAGGGCATTGTCATTTTGTAATCGGCGATTTTTGGCAGCTAGCAGCCTGTCTAATGACTGAACCGTTTCACCAAGTTTCGTGATTGACTCTTCATTTGCGGTCGCTGCGTCTCCAAACTCAATTTCTCGAAGTAACCTGGAATGTGATGGGTTACTGTAGGCTGAAACTGATCAAAATTTGACTACCTCAATTCCTTCTTAATCGCTTCATAATCGCTCTGATCAGCTAACATGGCTTCAAGTTGCTGCGCTTGATTTGTCTTCTTATTCAAATCCGCAGTCAACTCCTCAATCTGTTGCCGTGCCTTCTTCGCATCAGCGGCAGCCGTCTCTACCAAGCGGCGGTTCTCTTCGGTAAGACGAGCGATCTAAAACAAAATCTTCCAGTCATCAACTAAAAACATAGCCAAGTCGGAAATCGACAAATTTAGTTGGGAAATATGATTTGGATCACCTGCTCATCCTTCTCCTTCATGAGGCCACCAAGGGCAGCGATGTCTTCTAAGCTGCCACGTTGAGAATTTGCTCGAGCTTCAGCAAGTTCGGCTGTGACTCGCGTCAGTTCTGCTTCCAAAGAAGCCTGCAAGCAAAACTTTCACAAAGCCCTTATTGAAAAAGCTGAACCTTTATCTATGCCCTTTTGGACAACTTGGCTACTATTGTGACGTTTACACATTTAAGTACTTAATTATTATTTCTACTTAACAAATCAAAACGGATATATCTGAGATTGAAAAAACAAACAATTTGAAACAGAAAAAACTTAAGTAAGCTAAGAAAACTCACAACTCTCCTGTTCGCGTCATTCAGATCCCTTGTCACAATGTCAATTTGCTCATTTTCGAGCGCCTCTTTTCGGTCAGCTGCTACTCGTGCAGTGTCCAGTCGTCTTTGCGCATCTCGCATTAGAGTCTCCAGCTCGCTGACCTATAATGACAAAATACTGTCTATGTTTATAATTCCTATGAATAAAAAGCAGCAAAATAAGGTAGTTCTATGGTTCTTTAATATTCTATACGCGATACTCCAACGGAACCCGAGAAGTTGAACAGTCATTGTATAATTTTCAGCAGTAGTGGCGGGGGGGGGGGGGGGGGGAAGGAGGACACAAACTTTTCAAAAAGAGTCGTTTCATCAGCAAAAGTTATCAACGCCTTCAGATTTTTGGTAAGAGTAACCCAACAAAGGGAGAGGTTGACAGCCACGGCCTCGAAGACATTTTGCAGAGGTTACCTAAAATCCGTATAAGACAGCAAAAAGTCACTTGGTCACTTGCACATTTTCGTAATTGATCATTTTCGAAAAACCTGCGACCCACTGTGACGGGGCCGGACAGCGAGGTTTTAGCAATAATTTTATGGGGAAGAAAACCCACAATAGTCCGCTATTTTCTTGATCACGACAACAAAAAAACCGTAGAAATTTGAAAAATAAACGGAAAGAAAAAGACCAGAAAGAACTCACCTTCTTTTCAAGTGCAGCATTCTCAGCTTTCAACTTGTCGGAACGCATTGTGGTTTCGTGATCACGTATGGAAAACTCGTCTCTGAGCTCTTTTTCCACTTCCGAGATCGCTTGCTCAACTTCTCTAGCTTTGTCTTCTTCAAGTTTAGCTATAGTGTCGCGAAGTTGACGAATTGTGACATCTAAAACGGACCGCAGCTTTTTCAAATTTCTACTTTATTATCAAATAGTGAAAGATCTGAATAAATTATAATGCAGATCTGAACCAACCCTGATTCTTCAAATCGGCTAACTCTGTTTGAACAAGAGCAATCTGCGCTCGGAAATGATTCGCTTCTTCGACAGCTATATTGGTCTTCTCCGCTTGTGCTTTCCAAACGATCGCCTGTTCTAGTATTGGCGTAGGATCTGCAAGCGCAAACAATCCGTTTTAGAACAATTACTGATACTAGCTTGAAACTAGGTGGAATTGACGTACAAGAGCAACTGCCATGACAAAAAAAAGATTGATAGTTGCTAGACAATCAATGATGGTTTATTTAGACCAGATATAGCTGCATTAATCCTAGCACGTTCTAGCACGAAGTATTTCCAAATCAGCCCTACTTGTTTTAAAATTTCCCCAGGAACAAAAAATAGAAATTACAAAATTAGAAATCCCTGAATACAAAGCTATTTCATTCGAAAATGATCGAGAAAACTAAGACATTGCTTGAGCGGCAGCTCATTTGTGGCCGAAAAGTCAACTCTGCTTTCTTGCCCACTACCGTTCTTTATTCAGCGGATCAATCAGCGTTCTCAAGTACGGTACTGGGCGAATGTTTACAAGCTGAAATTCTCGGCCATAAATAAATAGGAATTGCGACCTGCGCGGTGGTTTGGCTAAGGTATGACCAGCAGCTACAAAAAAAGGTTCAAGTACCAAAGTACCCTCTTTCTTCGAAACACTGGCTCGAGTATTCAGGAAAGTACGCTTTCAGCCTATGAGATCAAACAAACTAAGATAATGTGACGAAACACATTCTACTTTAGTCAAATGTGGGATATAACTGACTTATTTTTGAAGGTTTCGTTAATAAAAATTCACGAGAGTCAGTTTTCTGGAAACCAACTTTCGAAGTTATACTCTCCTCAAGGCGTTGAAAGTCACGCCTCTTAAAGACTTGCTCTAGCACAACTACTGCTTTCTAAAACTACTGAGTACAATTACAAGGACTCCAGAAGTCACTGGCGACAGAATTTGCCCACAAAATAGGAGAAACCGATTCAAATTCAAAGATTTCCTGCAGCAAATACATCTCAAATTGCACACTGTTCCAGCAGATCCATAAAAGGTCAACATTCAGAGGCAAACACTGACACTGACGATTACTTATCGACAGATGTTCCTATGTAAACGTAGATGACTGTACGAAGATCTATGCGTCACCTGTCAATTAGACCGGGTAGTGCGAGTTTTGACTTTCCTAATCAACAAGAGTCCTATTTGCCTCCAGCTGTGGAAGCTCAAAGAAGGCGTTCTATTCTCTTACAATTTTATTCAGCATCGGAAGTTGTGGATATTCGAAAGAAATGTGAGAAATTTTTTTTCGGAAACGTCAGGAACTGAGCCACCCAAGCTTCAGTTTGTCCTAGGAAATACAACTTATCCTAACAAAATCAGATGATATTCAATAATTTCGTTATTTTGTCGGGTCGAGAAAGCAAGAGGGATAACTATAGTCCTTCTTTCTACTTTCTCAAAAAAATTTTTGCTACCAGTTTGCTCCGATCACTGAAGTTAGAATTCTTGTCACAAATTAGCAGCGCTTTTTCGAGGACCATTTCCAGATCACTAGCATCTAAACTTAATATACTACTCGTAAAGGTTCCACTAATGTAGGTTACTACCTGACCCATGACGCAGGAAGTACGGTATGGGTGCAATCTAATCCACCTTATGCCTATAATATGTAGTCAAGTCAGGTAGTAACCTAATAAGTGTGAGTGCATCTATCACATACACAGGGCGTAAAAACCCGAATTATGTTGGTTGACGCGGTAGGTGCTTCCCCTGTTTTTTTAGTCAACATAAAACCTTGGAAGAAAACAATTTATTCGGAAGGTGCGCAAATCGGTCAGTCAACCAATCTCAGGATATGACGCGCACTGTCTATGATTTCTGTAATTACACAAGTCAGCCATTCATCTGCCGCATCTACGCACACATCTGAATCCCCCCAACCATGTATTTCCCCAAAACTCGATAGCCCAGAGCTCAGCCCACGTCGTCGATCAAATGATGCGTGAGCGCCCATCGGCTCATGCATCGATTCTTCGAGCTGTTGGGGTGTTCGGCTCTTCGGGGTTCGATATTCCGCTGCCGGCGGCGTCGGCATCGATTCGGATATCGATCGAGCCGGTCGATTCTGTTGAATGGGGGAGAAAGGGGGAGAGAAATCAGCAGCAGTGGGAGCAGTAGCCCGTTGCTGCACTACATCTCCCCGTTCTAACAACGAATCGACGTCGTCGTCGAGCTACGTCGCTCCTTCTGATCGATCTGCTCGGAGCTGAGAGAGCCATCGCCATCGGCCGGCCAAAATCGACTGGCAACGCCTACATGACCGATAGGCTATAGTTCTGCCTCGTATCAAAAGAAAATATCGACGCGCAGCTCGACAGCAGAAAAAACGTTTGTTTGAAAAGTGCAGCAGTGCCTGGGTAGTAGAGTTGTTGAAGCCGGAAGAAGTTTCAAGGAGTCAAACAGGGCCTACATACCCCAGCAATCTTCATTTTTAGCTTGCAAAGCTCACCATAGCTCAGAAACACTCTCAGAACCATAAAAGTTCATTAACCAGACTGCAAAGCGCGAATGCAAACATAAGCTCCGCCCACCATAATCAAATTAGGTCGTCTTGGCCGAGTTCACACAGTGGTCATTCCACGCAATCTTTGAACTATGCTAATTCGATAAAAACCCTATAAAGGGGCCTTATTATTAAAAAGCTCATTCATTCAAGATTCATCTACTTTCTGCACCTTATGGCTCAACCCCGGCAAGGGCACTTTGCGGCAACTTCAAAGAGGATCTTAATTTTTGCCCCTAGGGAACAATTATGCCCTTATGGGCGTGGGCGTGCACTAGTGCGAATTTATTACTGAGAAAGTGTTATCGTACTATGACAGCTGTGATTTATATAGAGACAAGAGCTGATTGGCGCATAAAAGATGAGATTAACTGATACAATGAGAAATTTGCCAAAACAGCTGCAAAACAACGTGCGGAAGTGGCGAGGAACCCGCGCAAACGGATCATGGGACCGCGTGGTCCGCTGCGACGACGGGCAGATCAACGACGGGAGACGACTGAACAGCACCGACATCGAGGTCCATCTGACCCATGGGCAATCACCAATATCGGGCCGAACGAAGCCGGCTGTCCGCTATCGATTGGTAGTCAATGAGCGTGGTGCGCAGTGTGGTTGGACATCGACGATCGATCGGGGCGGAGCTTCCGGCCAACTACCGTAATCCCGTCACTCGACATCGATCTACTGCGATTGGAGAGTGAGCCGCGACGAGTTCTTTTGCTCGCGACACTGCTCGAAGCCGTTGAACATCTACGAGAAGGACATCTCTACGTCGAAGGAAAGCAGAGATCAAAGAACATCCAGAAGAACGGGAAAAACTAGGGAGATGCGGATATATTGCGAAGCTTCATGCAGACGACCTTTGCCTGGATACCGCCACCTATAAGTTGTTCCGCAAGAGCTTATCAAAAATCACGATGCGGTGATTCATAAGACGCAATTCTCTTGTCTATCAAAATGTCTATGTCTATCAGAATGTCTATCAGAATTACCTATGTGATTTGAATTTTCTGAAGCAAATTTATGGCCTTTCCTTAGGGTCACAATTAGAACCCGCTTATAAAAGTTTAGAAAGACTCACATACGAGTGAGAGTTCATCTTTTAGAAGAAACTCTTAAAAGGACCTGTTCATAGTTCAGATGTAGTGCGCAACTTTGAGTTTTAATGACACCTTTACTTGGATTACTGTGCTGGAGGGCCAAAAAATGTCATCACTGTTAGAACTTCTATATACTCTCGAATTCTTACACACGAAACCGCTAACATTTTTTCCATTACTATCCCTTTTACCCAAGTATATGAGCTTAAATACTAGCATACTTAGCATACTGCTGCTAGCATCTCAAGACGTATTCCGAAAAGAAAAATCATGTCTCATCCCATAGATAAGTCTATACGATTGCTATATGTAGTAGACAACCATACCCTCACTCTTTAACTACGCTCTAAAAAGCAAAATATCTGGAGGGTGGTGAAGTAAATAAGAACTGGGAGGGAAGAAGACGTTGATATAAAAGTGATGCAAAACCAAAATACGAGACAAGCTTGAGACTAGCACTTTTTAGCTTGTGCTCAAAATGTGTTAACAAGCCATTTTCTAAAATTGAGGCGATAACTATCAAATCTATCACTTTATTCCCAGTTTATGTGCTAGTTTAGAGACATTCAAACGGAATTCTATTGTAGATTTTTTGCTTTAGTGAGCAGTTTCCCCTTCAAGACTAAGAATTCTTTGATTTTTAGCAATTTCATTACAGTAAATTTTTCTCGATAGAGAAACTGATCTAAAATTATTCATCAATTAGCAGCTTCGCTAATTCACTGTGGCTTTCGAAAATAATTTCACAAAAAGAGGTGGGAAGAAAAGATTCCGATATTATAGACAATCAAGCTCACATCAGATATGAGCGATACCCTTCTAATCATAATCTATAATATAAAGAATCGTTAACTCAATTCAAAAATTCTGCAAATAGCGAGAAACCGCGTGGCGGTGTAGCGAACGCTCTTTCAAATAGCACCTTTAGATTACTGGTTAACTATTTTCTAAAAGACTCTGTTTTGAAGTCTCATTAAGTTGTGGCATCAAAGCATCGAATTCGTGGGCACTTGACAAGATTAGAGAAGTAAAAGCCCATCTTTTGGTATAATTTTTGTGAGCAAGCACTAATAAAGCTCCAAAACATCAATAATTAGGTAATGATCGCTGTCTTTAACAAAAATAGACTTGAGGAAGAATGAATCATAGCTAATCATGGAAGACAGTGCAAATCTCGGCTAATTACTATGTTGCGCTACTGGACAAACATCTTGCAGCACGCATTTTTCAAACTTCCGGCTACTCCGAGAGCAGAAAATCCCATCAACGCGAATTACGGTGAAGTCGAATAGACAGGGTAACAATATGTGCTATCTACTGATAGAAAGGACCAATAAGCAAAGACAGAGCACCATCAGAGGCAAGGAACGATTCAATTTTGCATTTTCAATCGCCGACCAGTCTAAAAAAATACAGGTTTCACGTACTACCCAAAATGGGTCGAAAAGTCAATCGTACGCTGAATAAAAAAAAGTCAAAATGAATGATATGCATGGGAGTGTGAAACAAGGAGAAGGAGGATGAAAATTTTGTATATTTACAAAAACGAAAAATACCTCGAAAATTCAGTCTAGCAAGAAAATAGGCAAGAAAAGCAGCCTTAGTTCAAAAATCATTGAGACTCTATGGAAAATGCAGTGAATTCGATTATTTTTTGGTTTTTTGCTAATGCTTCAACTAACGAAAATGCACGTTAAAAATTTTGTAGCAAATAGCTGGATGCAAATATCGCTTGCACTGCAGAAACGGAAGTCAAAACTATTCAGGATAATCCCATATTCAACATTTTTCAGATCAAGCAAATTCACTTCTGAGATTTCTTCAAATCAGAAACGTCAGCTCACCTGGCAGATTCGTCAGCTGTGAGCAAATCTCTATCAATGCCGCTTCCATGGCTTTTCCTCTCACAGTCAGCTGATCAACTTCTTTTTGGAAAGCTTTGATGAGTGGGATAGCAACTCGGCGGGTTTCCTAAAAGGTGAAATTATCGGCAACAACGCATTCAGTAATTTTCAGAAACCATTTTCTTGTTTCTCTTGCTAAAACTATAGAAAGTGTGAACACCAGCGAAAGAAACTTCAATCATTATTCTGTCCAGAAATCTAATCTTTCTTTTACGTAACGATTTCGGGATAAGCCGCAGTGATACCGTATCACAATATCAACATGATCAGCTTGACCCCCCTTGACCTACCGCCAACTCCACGGGTGTATGTCAAGAGGCGCGATTTTTATTGCCAGATGGACACCAATTAGCACATTTCTAGTATTTTATGAAGGTCTAGGGGCAACTTAAATTTCCAACAAGATATGTGTGATCGTCCCGTGGGTTGCTCTATCTTACCAATCTGAAATAAATTCGAAACATGAATGCTGGAGGTCAAAAACTTGCGAAAATGCAACTAATCGCAGTTTCGCAAGTATTTCAATTGATTTTTCACCAAACACTCTCAAACTTCGTACGTAGTAGCTTTTGATAGTAACTAAGCTAGAGCACTTTGTCTGATATCCTTGAAAGACTCTCCTAGCTCTAGATTGGGCTGTTTGACTGGTGACCTTTAGAGAAATCGCGCCTCTTGACCGTCTCCCCAACTCCACCCACACGTCACCGCTAACTATCGTAACCCGCACTATTTCTCTTCTCTAAAAAGTCGGCCACACTTCAATACTTCGCTTTTCCCTTGATAGATGTCGCTTTTCATGGGGCCGATCGATCAAGCAAGCTCTTGCTCTGGCTGAGGCTCATATATGTGCAGCCATCGGCAAGAGCTGAGTGACGGCTATTGATCAGACGAGAGGCACAGAGAGCCATTTTCAGAACACAACGACGGGGGGACACACTTCTCGAATCGGGGCCTCGACACCTCCCAGTTCAAAACAAACCATCGAGCTGAAGCGTATCGATGCCGCCATTCACAACTGCTCAGCCGAACAAAACAGCTATCGCCCCTACAGGGACGGGATGGCGCGAAGAGATTGGGTTTCGCGCAGAAAAAAATCAAAAATGTAATTTTCAGAAACTGATTAAGCTAGAGAGGAGGGAGAGGTTATCTTTTGGCGCGTACTGGCAATTTCCCGGATCCAAATCATCATTTGCCACCTTTTCACTCCCTCCTATTTTTGGTCACTTCTGACAAAACCTTTAACTCACAAAAATTCTACCCCCCCCCCTTCGCAAACAGATCGATCCTTCCGCTACGCGATCGATTAATTGATTCAGATGATTGAGCTGTTCGATGACCATCTGCTCCATAATAATCCATCCAACCATATACAGCGCGCGTTGCCGCAGCTGGCGCAGTATTAGATGCAACATAACACGCAAATCAGCAACCGCGTTAGGTTCAACAGAACGGAAGCGGAGAGGGAAATTGGAAAGGAGCGGGGAGAGAGGGAGAGGGAGAAATGGAGCGAAAACCTTGGGTTAACAATAAGATAATTTTACCACTGCATCAAGAAAATGTCCGAAAAGCTAAAGTTAGGACCCTAAGAATTACAAATTGTAACTTTCCTGGACGCACTCATTTTCAAAGAAAATATAAAGTTAGGGTTCTCACCAAAGAATGTCACATCCAAAAAAGTGAGAAATCAGCAAAGACAGCTGGAGATAGAGTATTGCAAAGTATAAAGTAGTGGCCAACCATAACGAAGTTACGTCATCAATTAACACGATTTATAAGTCTTTCTTAACGGTTTTGTAAAAATATTTTCTTGTGAAAAATCTTGATTTCCATGGCTTCAGAGGATAAAGAATTGATCACCCACAAATAGGATTCTATGTCTAAATCCTTCTAGACTAGACTAGTAGTAGGACACAGCGAACTGAAACCTACTTATATGGGTCATAAAAATGTACAAATGGCTACTTATCCATGTAAATAATTAAAATGATTTTTAAAATTTTTTAAAATTTAAATCAGCCTTGTAAAAAAAATTTCAGGAGCGTGGCTGTCGCCACCCGCAAAAATTTTGAGATGCACCCCCAAAAAAATTTTCGGAGTGCGTGGCGTTAGCCAGCACCTTCTTAGGTAAAATTTTTTGTTGCCTTCCCCGCCCTACCCGGGACCGAAATCCTGCGACCGCCACTGTGGAAACGGTACAATTCACTCTATCCAAAAATGATTAACCTTTGAATTTTTCTACTCTTAAGAAATCATGATTCAATTAATAAAAGGCTACAAAACCTTCAAAGTGACCATATGCATGAACAAAACTCGTTACACGAAAATTTCCAGGTATTGATTATTTGAAACAATGCTCAAATTTCGGCACACTCAAATTCTTAACCGATCTATATGAAGGATTCCATAATACGAACAGAAAGGGAAGGGGGAGGGGGAGCGGAGGATGGGAGATTTTTTGGTTCAGAAGAGCGTCTTACATTTACTAGCCAGTTCAAAACCACAAAAACATCAAGGTACGATAGGTGGTAAAAAAGGAACTGCAGCAACATCTACGATAAAGCTACGGTGGCTGGACTCAGGCACTAAGCGTTAAAAATCGTCTAACTTTTGAGTTCGATACAAGTGTGATAGTAATTCATTCTGGCAAAAAGAAAAAAGGAGAGTTCCCATGCAATAGGTTCTGAGGATAGCATCGGGAACAAAAAATTTTTCCTGATAGGTTCAACATGTGAAGAATAGCTAAAGCTACCGGAAAAAGACAGCAGTATTACGAAGACTGCACAGAGGGGAATGATTGCACACAATCAGCTATACGAAAAAAATCGTCAGAACGGTCAGGAAGGGAGACTGTCGCAAGAGAAAGCGTCAACAGCATTTTAAAAGAAAATTAGAATAAGATGAGATCAAAATTTTGCTCTTTTATGATTCCGGCTTTCAAATTCAACCTCAAAAAGAGCATTAAGAAGTTATACTTGACATGGATTGCAAGAGAATGTACATCAAAGAAAAAAATTAACGCTTGAGATGAGCTCCAAAATTTGTATTGCACTAATATGAGGACAGAAAATCCAGAAACTCCATTGGCTATGGTTAGCGAATTTTACTAAAGAAAAAACTGCCAAATAAGCAATTCATTTCGAGAGGCTTCAGAATGAAAAAGATTTTGGAAGGATTTAGATAGGAAGCTAAGAATACATATGATGGAGATAATTTTGTAATAAGGGTCTCACAAAAAAAAGAATGCGTAAGAGATTGTTTCACACTAAAAAACGCATGAGAAGTCTTGGGAAAACTTGTATAACTTATGTTACAAACCTTATCAGTATTTTGCCTATACTTGTTGCTTTCTTCAACGAGAATTTTACGTCCTTCTTCTGCCTCATCTTGGCGCGCTCCAATTGCTTTTATCTCACCATCGACGCGGAGCTGCAAAGCAAGTGTATTAAGAGTTGAAGGGAAATATTCCATTATCGCAGGGGAAGTGAAAATCACCTGAACATTTTCCCAAGAAACATTTTTCCAGCTTCTAACGTAACTATCCATATTTGCGTACAGTTCAACAGATCATCACAATTCCTGTGTAGTAATGGTATAACTCTGCAAATCTGAGTAATCAAAACAATCATTAGCATCCTGGACATAAGAACGAGATATCTTGGTGCAGACCAAAGAAATCCAAAAAGTGTTTTTAAAGGACTGTATAAAGGAAATTTTATCTGATGTCCATTCCAAACCTACAAACAACATCAATGATCTACACCCTACAGAATTATCTTCTACAAAACACAAAGCAAGCAAACTTTAGCTCTCAACAATATTGTATCTCCAGTCGTTGTACTTTCTGTAATCATTTCGTAGATGGTAGTCATCTGGCAGCTCTGCTAGCACTTTAGCTGCCTCAGCTTTGTAATCACGGACTTTCACCTCTGCAAAAATAGAAACATTCATCCAAAAAAAAAAACCTAAAGTGGCGGCGGCAATTCCAGACGGCGCATTACCTGGAGGTGGGTGAGCGCTCTCGTAAACGTGGAGCTTGCTAAAGTAACCCATTTTAGGTCGAGTGAGGTGCAGTTTCTCCTCGACACATGCATCAAGGACCTTCTGTTCAGGATGACATCTAGAACACTGCATAATTTCTGATGCTAAACAACATTGACTTCGAAGAAAAAAAGTAGAGCAAACATTAGAAGGTAACGGCGTCTTGGGGAGGTTGCATAAAACTGTAATCAAACGCAAAAACCTTAAACAGTGTTTTTCGCAGTCTCAAAAAAGACTCATTTGCAAGCGAGTAGACTTTCGGCTACACCGTAACACTTTCAATATGTCCATCCTGCTCTTTGACTTTACAAAATTATTTCTTTAAGGACGACTTCAGTGAAATCATGAAACAAAGAGACTACAACAAAGCGCTATGACTCTATATATTGCAGAGGTCACATGAATATAATCCACGATTCAGACGAGACGTCCATCTTTTTTCGGGGAAAATTTAGGTTCTCAAGAACGGTGATCCATTCATGTACTTGTGTTATCAAAAGAAAAAAATTTTTCAAACAAGTCATCATTTAAAACTGCGAGAACAATCTTTCACGACACAAACTAAATGATAATTAGCGACCATTTTACGTGCCTGCAACCACCGCTTTCATTAAGCTAGAACGAAAGTTCCAAAAAATAAGCAGAAGTCGAACGCTTCCTGGTATACAAATTCTACGGCTATGATATTGTAAATGTTGCAAGGATTACAAAGGAGACTTCGACATTTGAAGGAGAATGGATCAATTGCTTGCCGCCTATCGGTAACCCTTCCGTGAGACCAGGTGAATGTGCAAAAACGAAATATCTTGCGACAGTTTACTAATATGATTTTGAAGGTGCACAATGTCAAAATTTCGAGAATATGATTCTGAGCAAAAATCAAGAATCGGGGAAATTACGAGGAAGCCGTGCTCATATTTTGCCAATGGCTTGAATCAGCTTTACCGGAGAATTGACATTTGGTATAGTCAACACCTGTGCAACAGTGGTTACAGAGGGCCAAAGCGGATGTAATTTCGTAGTCAAAGTCTAGCAAACAAAAAATTAGTAAAGTGAAACCGTCTGTGTCCATTTATAATGGTAACAAAAGTACAGCTGAAAGTTATCGCAAAATATTCTTAGATTAGTGTGTCAGATCATCCTCAAGCAGACGAAAAAATGATAGTGGATGGTGTGGTTGTTAGACCTCGGGCCGAGTTCACTGGATTTGATCGTCGCGATTCAATCGCGACAAGACAACTGTTGCGAGTTCATTGCATGCCGACCAGCTGTGCATTCGGTTGTGATACTTTTCCAGCCCGAAATTTTTGAATGTAAAATGAAAATGAATGGAAATCGCGACGACTGAATCGCGACGATCAAATCGCGTGAACTCTGTCCGAGGCCCTACGATTTTTCATCTTCCTCCACATCATGCACTGCTCTAGCGATATGAAAAGTTCATAATTCAGTTGTGGGAAAGGTTCAAAAGGCAGTTTAGCCTTTCAAGGAAATCTCTTTTTCGCTTATCCAGTGACTCATGTCAATCTATTTCTGAATATACCACAGCGAAAAATGTAAAGCAGAGCGAATGTAGAGGAGAGAGAGCAAGAAATTCGCAAACTTGAGAGATCGAGACTCCTAAACTAGAACCTACACTCTTGACTTGGAAGTAAATGAAAAAACTTTTGGAAAGCGTGATCTATAAAATTATTCAAAAAAAAACATCAAAAAGTCGCTACACAACAGAAGCACACACATGATTAAATTGCTCAGAATGACGAAGTACTGATAATGATAACATTCTATTCGTTTCTGTTCAGTTGATCACAAAAGAAGATGATGATAAGACAATCTGACAAAACTTTTTCTAGCAATATTCGCATCATAAGCGGAACTGAACCAACGACCTATAGAGAAGACAGAAACGTCGACAAAAGAACAGCAAATCTCCGCTACAATCTTTCCAGATCCAGTCCAAACATGACGATCCACATATTGCATCCAAAATCAATGAATAATATGGGTGTCAAAGCAGGTTGTGCTGCCCAAAGGTGACAAAAAGTAAAACGAACGAAGCGAAACGTGGCATTCATTGCAAAGAAGGTTAATAGTTCGGAATAATATCTTCCCTTCAGGGCTCTGACGAAGGCGAATAACCCAAGCTAGCCAATTAAAGCCGATGAAAATCTTGATGTAGCTCAGTCGGTCAAAAGAATTAGTGCATAAGAAAATGGAGCGAAAAAGAACGAGATGAATTGATAGAACAAAAAGATGATAAGATAATGGGACTGCATGGACACCTAAACACTAAGCCGGGGATCAGCAATCATAAATAGTGGCCACAACTATACGAGATGCATTGTTGCATGCTCTTTTAGATGAAGAACAACCACCTAACACTGCTGTGTCTCGAGATCAAGAAAAAACTAACTTGAGAGTAGATCATGAAGGATTACCGACGAGCTCATACCTAACTTTCAATGGGTGAAGAAAAAAATGTAAACCTCGAAAAAATAAACAGCTGCAGAATTTGAAGATGACCATCAGCCTCTGTGCAATATAAGATAGTAAGAGAAGTAAGTCAGATGTCTCGCAATAGAGAACCCTATGAGTCCACTTTAGCTTTGCAAGCACTTTTGAGGGCCCTGAAGGCTCCTTGCTTTGACGTTCAGACTTTAAATATGCAATTACATGGTGCAAATGACGAATGCAAAAGATGGAAATGTGATGCAGATGCAAATTGCACCAAAACTGAGTAGCTTTTTTGGAATCTGTAGAAGTTCAAACTTCAAAAAAGGTATTATAAAGGAGAAAGTGGATTAACAGTAATCGGAGTGACAAAAAAGTTGAAAGCTATGTCTAAATTCTCTTCGTTGTCAACACGATTATTCATTATGAAGCGCCAAAAAGAGGAAAAAGCAGACTGGCTAGTTCCCATTACAGCAGATACACTGCGGAAAATAGCCATAGGGTGAGAATGGGAAAAGCGACGCTCTATGGCCACATTTTACACGCAAAAGCTGTCGTGCCGACAGCAGCTGTAAATTAGCCGTTGAATTATGACTATATAAAGGCTATATAGAACCCGAATATAGAAACCGATTGGGAAAAGAAAACAAGAAGAAACCGGACAGTGCTGCAAGAAAGACATCATTTGGAATGGCCATGGTGCATTGATTACCAGAACAGTAGCGTTTGAACTGGACAACGAAGCATAGAACAAGTAGCAATTTCATCACCAAAAGCTCTATACAAGAGTGATATCATGTCTAGAAGATAGTTATTAACAAATCTTGAGCTCTTCATGCTTATAGAAAGAAATTATAAAACTTTTTGCGCACTGAACTGAAATTGTCTCGCCAAGAGTAGAAAAGTGTGGGAAGAAATGAGTGAGAAGCAAATCTCGCTTTTAACCATGAATGAAAAAAAATTTCAGTGCACTAATGTTCTGCAAATAAACCGAGAAAAAATGTGAAGGAAAGATAGTGGCAAAATGCGCCTATTTCGGGCTAGAAGCAGCGTATAAGTAAATACTTTCCAGCGTGAAAATTACTTCAAAATGAGGAACTCACTTGCTCATGTACAGCTTAGCATGACTGTGATCGATGCAATACGCCAGCTTTTCCGTCTCTTGCATACATGTCCTTTTCAGGGACTTCAAAAATTCTACGCCACATGCAGTTACCGCTGCGCCTAAAAACAAGGGATGAATGCACCAAACGAACAAAAACATATAAATCTCTTTGAAAGCAGTGCTAAGCTTCGAACAAAAGCAAGAAGAACGGCGTCCAATTTCGAATTGTAAGACTTTGGGAAATGCTTGTTCTCGCCGTTTTCGCGCTTACTAGTGTGGATTTTTCGAATTCAACGTTAAGGATAACCCCAGGTAAGTGAATTTCCTGAAATCGAGTTTTTGCCCGGACATTGCCTTCAACGGCAAACGGTGAGAAATAATGGATTCTGGAGCGGAAAATGGCTACATCAAAAAATGACTGTAGTCAGTTTGTTATGTATGCATCTCCAGTTTATCAAAAAAAACATAGTTGAAAACTCGCAACAATCGATAAGAACTCGTACAGCACATACCTTCTTTCAAAGTAGCTCGTGGATCCTCAAGCTCTTTTCGACGAAGCATGAACTCCTAAAAACACGACCAAGTTGGAACGTTCTTCATGAGCATGCTACAGATAGCAGATATGACAACTGATACAGGTGTTCTTCGTTGCCGACACCACTTGCGCGTTTAAAATGGCCGTAGTGCCCAAAACTTTGGAATGTGCGCCTGATGACAATTTTGACGTGCAAATGTCAGTACAACGTATTATACACTTTCTCCGCGCAAATCTTGGCGGCACCGCAACACCACACTAACACGATTCCCTAGACTATGCATTAGCGGATGCGGATGATGATGTACATTGATGATGATATACATGATATATATTCCATACAAGTTTGTTTTCTTCACAGAACGGTGCGAAAGGAGTTTAAATTAACGAATAAGCTTACTAATAAAAAAATTATAAATACTATCAAGTGCTCAAATAAATCAAATGAAAAACATACGTTGATCTCCCGCTCGCAATGTTTTCCCATATACTGCGCGACAGCTTTGAACCAAGGTGTAGAAAGGGTGATCTCTTGTGGAACCGTGAGTTCCTCATCTGATGGCATCTTCACATCTTTTGTGAGCGCCATGGTTTACACCTACAAAACAGTAACACGTTTATACACCAAAACCGCGAACAATGTTGAATAGACCAAATAATATGCTAAAATCGCAAATGGAACATAAGACGGACCAATTATATGCTAAAATCACGATCGAAATGCAATGAAGAGAGCACATCTGCATCGAAATGATGAAATTTGTGAGTTTCGACGCTCAGAATGTTGCCAGTCTTGAGCTGTTGTCAGTCGTATTTTCTTCCTTGGATGAATTCTTTTTTCATAGAAGACAAGCCAACGCCCTATTGCTCAAAGGGCGTTCTAGCTGCGCTATCTTCCTACTCGGCTGTAACTCCTACCAAGACCACTACATCAATCACAACGTAAGGCAAAATTTAGAGATAGCAAGTGGTAAGGCTTACAATGTGTTTTCAAACGAGAAAGTTTAAGGTTTGCGCCAAGTGGCCTGATAATGATGAGAGATGGAAGATGTCTCAGTTCCTTCTACATCTCAAGGAAAAAACCAAGGTGAGCGATAAATATATATCAAATCACCAAAGCAGAAGACCTGTGGGGATAAGTAAACTCACGATCGCATTTTTGCACATTCTTTGGTCTGTCATGCGAGAAAAAAATTTTAGCATGTTTTTTGAATGTTCAAAAAAGGATCCAATCATCATTATTAACTCGACAGAATTCACAGTATTTACTCTTATAGTCCTTGCACACACTTCATTGGCGCAATCCCAATTCATTCAGAGAAATCAGAATTCCAAATTTCATAGTTTGCGAAATGATTACCATTCGTGATCATCGTGTAATTTAACACGGTGATCACGAATGGAATTCATTTCGCTTGACAAGACCATCTTTAAAGGCTACGGTAGGTATACGGTATGGGCTCGAAGTTTCGAAAAATATTGTAACTTTGTATGTACAGAGGAGTTAGCTGACATGCTGAGTACGAATATCATATCCATCCTTTACGAGAGTGCTTCAGATGCAAGTAGGGTGATAATATGGCTTAAAAAGGCTATCTTATTCTTACATTGAAGAATTTCAACGACTGGTTCAACATTCGTCAGCATGTGGTATAAACAACCTTTCAACACAAAAGTTAGACTGATTGAATTTTAACCTCCGCTATACCCATCAACCCTGAAAAGGCCCTATCCGGAATCAATGTCATTTTTCCGATGTATATAACCGTGTGCAAGTTTCCGCAAAAACTTGAAATTTGCAATTTTGGGTTGTGTAGAGTTCAAAAAAGCTCTCTGTCATGTAAAGATCTTCCTACAGAAACTTAGTGAAAGTAAAGTGGAAAGAACAAACGGATCTTTAAAGCGCAAGCTTAATCAAAACGCGCACGCAGCCAACACATCCTACAACTGTACACGCTACAGCGGTGCTGCTTGATTTTCATTGCCTTATTTCATGCACTCTGCACCGTGACACCGCCCCATTTTTTTACAACTCTTCGATCAGCTGTTTAAATCCAATAATATGTGGGAAATGATGCATGCGAGACGGGAACGTTGATTTGCTGAGACAGTATAAACGATAACGGGTCTTATTTTCTTGTTTTTGAACTCCGTGCCAGGACGATTGCAGCGATTTGTTGGAGTTTGCAAAAATCCGGTTTTTTTTTTCATCGTTGGAATCAATTCGCGCCTGCACTTTGCCATGACAATATTCTCAACGAGCGATTATAGCCGCATACCCGTCTTCATCTCCAGTTATCCTGTTTTTCATCACTCTTGATTCTTTCGTCTCCTACTTCCACACTTCATCCAGAAATAATTTATTTACAGAATGGCAACGGGTGACCCCTCTCCACCGTCCAGTACTCCTGGATTGGTGGTACCCTTGGTGATTTGGGGACCAAAACCTCCGGAGAACAAAATGACAGTGGTACGATATATGAGCGACAATGCGACAATCATTACGGGTAAAGAATTTGTCACCCATTATACTAATTCATTTTTCGGTTTAAGGCTACCGTTTTTCCGTTTTTTCAAGCCTTCACATTTTCTTTGTTCAGTGCATAAGTAAGAGTTCTGGACAACACTATGATCAGAGCTTTGAAATTTATTTCAAAAATCTTCATGTCTACCACAGCAAATGCGAATCCTTACTCTTGTAGGTAAATATACGGTAGGGATATGAAAAGGAATTGTTTGGAATTCAGTGCAGTCCAGTCATTGCATCCACTACTACAAACTTCATACATACCACTCTACTCAAAACAGTCAGTATGTTCATGAGAGGTTTATAGGAGCCCAAAATGGTCATATAATTACTTGGAATTGCAATGGAAGCACTTTGACCCCGGGGCAATTGATGATAGGTCACGAAGCTCCAATCACAGCCATTTCGCCCACTAATAGTCTGCCAACTTCAACGTTAGTTGATTTGCACTTTAGACATTCATCTCAAAAAATGTGTATTCTATTATAGAAGATTTATTTCCGCTTCTTGCGACGGTCATCTGTGCCTTTGGGATATACAGGATGGTCGGTGTATCGACTCGGTTTCGACTTTATTCATTCATAGGCACATGCAACCTTATGTAAGCTCAACCCTGTTAATTATTTTTTTCCGTGAAATTACTACATTTAGACTTATAAATCCTCTCGCCATACGAGATCCACGCGGCTATTCTGCATAGGTGATTATAGCGATATAGTGGTTATGGATCCACAGGATCTTACTGTTGTTTTCTTGTTGAGTTCAAGGTATTTTATCACCTTGCCCTTTTGGATCATCCTTTCTATCTTTTGTCAATATTATAGGGTAGAACCTGACTGGGTATGCAGCTATGAGATCGTACAGAGACCAAGTAAACCTGAACAGTGCATTGGTGTCTCCATGGCTGGCATGATAAAAATTTGGTCGTTAGTGGAGCTCGAGAAGAAGGTAAGTTCAGCAGAATTTTTGGATTCGCTTTTTTTTAATCTTCTGATTCCTTGTTTAGGATCTTGCCACTCCCTTGTACGAGGATGAATCTAAGAGACTGGAGCTGAGAGATGTGAAAGCGGTGTCTTTCAATCCTGTGAATCACAAGGTGTTTCTCGTTGTTTGCTCGAATGTCTGGCAGGTAAGTATCGTTTTTAATCTAGATAGCATCACGTGCTTCTTCTATTATTGGCTAACGGTTATATACCTTTTTTGTTTATCTTTTTTGGTTTTATCGTTTGTAGTCATATTTGGGTTTATAGTTGCTCGACCTGGACGAGTTGGCTGCTGCCATCACCTACGAATGCCCGGCGAGAGCTGTAAGCGGGAAAATTTTGTGTATCGACAAAGTAGCCATAGCTTACAATGATCACACTGTGCGAGTGTATCAGCTTCCTCTGGAGTAAGTTCTTAGAATCACTTAATTTTTTATAATTTGATTGTTAGCAAGTCTATCTCATTTCCAGCAAACTGGAAGGTGCGCAAGCTCGCCAAGCCTTCGGTGTGGAACCTAAGAACTTTTTGGGTATGGCAAATCCTTTCGAATTTGCTGTTTTGGATACAGCTCATGCAAATCCTCGTTCGGTAAGTCATTGTTTACCCGTAGTACGTAATCGCCTTCTGCTCATGATTTACAATTTAGTGGCTTAATGATGTAACGTTCACCTTCGCGCGACAAACTGGCGATTCTAATCTATTTCAAGTCGCAAGGGTCAGTCATGCTGGACAGTTACTGATCTGGAGAATTCCCAACTTTGACAAGGATTTTCTCAACGGCTACCATTCAATCTCACAATTTCCACTCAGTGAGTAAAGCAGTACAAGCATCTTTTGATGTTCTTCCATTCTCTTTTTTTCCTCCTTTGGATATGTTTTTGATTGCACCTTTGATTGTTCTGCGATAGTTGCCATTTGAACAGAAAAAATGTTTTCCGTATATTGATTAATTTTTAGAATTCGATCCATCACACGAGGAGAGTTTAGCTGCTATTTGGAGTAGTCTCAGCGATAATGAGCAGTCGTCCTTGCCTGTACTGGTTTGTTTTACGGTAACATCGGTACCTTCATTTCTCAACTTATTCAGTACGACTTCAGGACCCTGGCGATGTGACAAGCTCTTTGTTTGTGAGCAGTCAAGGAAAATTGCTGATTGGCAGGGCAGATGGCTTAATTGTCATGACATATGCTTGTGAGACGTTATCGCGGCAGTTACTGGATGTATCCTTGGAAAAACCTACTACGCGAAGGCTGAACGGGCACAAAGCGGCTGTGACGTAAGTTTTTGAACATTTTTTTCGCGTTTTGCTTCATTATTTTCGCTCTTTACAGTAATCTTTTCTATCCCTTTGAACATCATCCACGTTTTGATCCTCAAGTCTTGATTTCTGGTGCTGACGACTTTGCCGTAATTGTCTGGAATATCAACACTGCGGCCAAGCTATACAAGTTTAGCGTGCATGGTGGTCCTATATTACGCTTCCTAGTTCCTCCAGCTAATACTAGTGTACGTGTAGTTTCGATCCCATATGATCTTGTTACAGTATTCAGTTGTAGAAACAAATGAGCAAGTGCATCTGCTCAGTGGCAGCTGATAATAGCGTGGCACTGCTAAATATTCGTGACATGAAATTGGCTTTGCTTGCGTCACGACATCCTCACCCTGTCACACTAGTCAAATGGCGACCACTGGATGATTTCATGCTTGTCCGACTAGATGATGGCAGCGTGTATGTGTGGCAGATGGAAACAGGCAAGCCTTTTTTTTTTACTTAGAAGAGTCCTTTTGATCTGACAGCCCTATTTAGCGAATATGGATCGTGTCGTGACCGGCGTTGTGGCTGAGGAAGTTCTAGCGGCTTGCGACGAACAAATTGGACGTGAAGAAGGCACTGAGGAAGTGGCAGCACCACAAGCCATTGTACTTATGAGGACATTGCGATATCGTGGCATGGACATGGTAAGATTCTGGAGTTCTTACCTCAAAAGGAGTGTCCCGGCAAAATGATCTCCGGTTTTTTTTTGCCTATTCGGGGTCTTCTCGCCATGTTAAATCCATATCTGGGCTTTGCAGCGCTTGGAAATGGCGAAAATGGCCTTTTTTTTTGAGGTTTTCCATATCTCCCTTCGTTGGGAAATACGTGTGTAAGAGGCAGGGTTTGGACGAAGGGCGGGGTTGGAAGCCTTCTGGAGTGGATTTTAAGCTTTTCAGAGCGCTTTTTCTCTCCAGAATTTACTGATAGATTGGTTTAGGGGTCTGCCGTTGAAATGTTGTAAAATCCCAGCACCCATCATTTTGCCGAGACGATGCCTTCAAATAAAAACATTTATTGCTTTAGATGAAGGGACGAACAAGCACTGGCGCGTCTGATTCGAGCACGCCTAAGGTTGAGACTCCTCCGTCAACCTACGATACTGGAGCAATTCAACTTGGGCCTCCTATGACTATCCATTCCTTGCCTGGATGCAATCACGGAGCTCATCTTATCCAGTTCGAGGTATTAACGAATTTGCTTTTTTGTCAAACAATCTTATCGCCTGCTTCCAGGTTGGTAGCCTCATCGGCGGCATCGTGAATCTCGACGCTAGTGACGAGGCCCTTATGAGACGTCCTTCTGCCCAAAGTATCACAAAAGCTGATTGTACTGAGGAAGCACCGAATGCCGAGCTTTCGCGGTAAGGGTATATATGAACATCCCCCAAATAGTTATTTTTGAATTTGGTTTTGAATTTATTTATTTTTGGTTTTCTATGACTTCCTGAATTTTAGGCGCCTCATGTGGCAGTTCGAATCCAATCTTTATCTGGACATCGCTCGCTTGCTTCTGTCATTTCTGCATGCCTGGAATCTTGACAAAGATCTGGATGCTGTTTGCATAAAGAAGCTGGCTTTGAATAAACCCAAACAGCAGCTCTACTTTGGAAATGTTTCCAGACACGGTAGGCGATTTTTATTATCTGATTCACGATTGATGTGGTGATTTAGGGCAGCTGTCTGTGGTGTTACCGCAACGTACTCAACGATCCTTTGACACATTTTCGACGGATCTTCGATGGCAGGTAGGTTCTGTTTTTTTTTTTCGGGATCCATTTCTCTGACGCTGATTAATGTAAATTTTGCCTGCAGGCTAGTCATTCTTTGACCACCACTCACTTATTAGCAGTCATCTCTACAGCAAACACTTTGATGGGTATGAGGAATGCGGCTTCACAAATTGAGTGAGTATACTTTTCATTTTTGTTGATATACTATATCTGTTCGAGGATTTTCTTCTTGTCAGTTTTCTTTTGGCTTTTGATGAAATTTTATCTTGTTCAAGAAATACTCGACGTAGCTCCTTGGCAAGTGCACATCCACTAGCACGCAAGACGACGAAAGAAGGGATCATAAGTGAAAGGCAACAATTGAAACAAGGTTGGTGCCAAGCCTCCTAACCGTAAACCATCCACGTGATATTTCAGGGTGGAGCCTCTTGGCAGCATTGCACTGCGTCCTACTACCCGATCATGTTCACCCGAGGAGCAGCTACGCAGCGCCACGCATCGAACTTCTTGCCAGAAGGTTAGCCTGAATTCTTCTGAATGTTTAAAATTTATCAAGTATCCTATAAAGGTGGCAAGACAGCTGTGTAGAGATACGAGAAGCAGCGCAAGCTTTGCTTATCCGTGAATTATCACGGTTAGGAGCATCAGGACGGAGACGTCTCATTGAATCCTGGACACCATTCCTGCCACCCTTGCTCGATCCTGCACTGTCGATTTTTGGTGAGTCGCTTCAAACTTCCAGGCTACGCTCTTTTGTCATTTTGCAATATTTAGGGGCCAGACTGCAGTCCTCAGTACCAGCTTTGCCTCCGTCAGCTCCTCCCATTCCTCCCAGGCATAAGTCATCACCGCCTCCGCTGGCACCTGTACCAGGTATGATTCTTTTTATTTTCTATTAGAGTGTCAGAACATCACTTATTCCAGAACCTTCCATCGCAGAAGATGGTGAGTCTGGGGTACAACAGGTTCGTCGCAATCAAGCCACTGCTATCATTCTCCTTGGTGTTGTAGGTGCAGAGTTTGGAGATGAGCTGAATAGGTATATATTTCACTAGCTTTCAATTCATGAAATCTGAAATTGCGAGTTTCAGGGCGGATCTAACTCGAGCCACTGCGCTTTCGTTGTTGGAGCTTCTCGTAGCCGCGCCTTCACCATTGCTACCCGTCCATTCTCCTTTGCGGCGAGCCGCCATAGACCTTCTAGGACGTGGTTTCGTCCATTGGGAACCACATTTGGAGATTTCCAAAGTTGTTCTAGGTCTGCTCGATCTAGCCGCGAATACGGAGAAACAACCACCGTTAGTGCCAGAGATTGCAACTTACTATAGTTCGAACATTATATTGTAGGCCACCAATTATTGGCGCCCCATTGTCCCCTATAGCCGATGCTTGCCGCACAGCACGTCATGCTTTGACGTTGATTGCTACAGCCAGGCCCACAGCTTTGCTGTCTGCTTTGAGTATGGAGGTAAATCTTTGTTCCTCTCATTTCTGCTATAGTTCCCTTTTTTGATTCCATTTTTCTTTATTTATAAGTAATCTCTTTATCTTTGGTTATCTTTTTTTGAAATTTGGTTCTACAGGTTGCAAGATATAACTCTGCTGCACAGCATCAAACTATTCAGCATACGGTTGTAAGTCCATTGCTAAAATCGCGAACTGAGGTAGGTAAAAAAATCTATGACATTTGAGCACGCACAATATTTTTCCAGGTCCTGCGGATCATAGAGGAGTTATCAGAAAAACGTTATGGAGAAGTGGTGGAGATGATGTTGCCGGTAGGGGATATCCTTGTCCATTGTTTGGATACTTCCTTACTCAAGCAGAAGACTCTTTCCGATGTGTTCCCTCCAATAACCAAGTAGGATGAATATGTTTGCTAATTTCTGAAATTTCATGTCTCAAATGCCAGGTTCTATATGGTGGCCTACTGTGCGCCTACACGTCGTATAGCTTTCGGTGGAAAGAATGGCACATGCGTTGTACACGAGCTTAGAGCAGCTAAAGCTCATGTGAGTAATCTTTTTTGTAGTTTCTGTAATCAGTTATTTTTGCTTTTTATCGAGTTTTTCTTTAATCAAAAGATGGCAGTTTTATTGCTTATAAAAAAAGCTCTTGCATTTTTTCCATTGAAACGATTTTCTTCCTCAATTTAGAGCTTACAAGCCCATCAAGGTCCTGTCACAGCAGTGGCCTTTTCAGAAGATGGCAAATATCTGGCGACATATGGTGGGCAAGATGCCAAAATAAACTTTTGGCAGACTAGTCAGACATTTTTGGTGAGTCCTCATTTTTTGACTCCATTTGCTGCCTTTGAGGCTTTCTATTTCGTTTTTGGCCAAATTCAAACACTTTTAGGGCATGGGTCAGAGTCAGATGAAACTCGCTAAGACCCAACCAGCGCCATCTTTGCCACCAGTTCCATCCAGTCCCAGCAATGGCGTTCCCGCTTTCAGACCCAGACTCGTTTGGATAAACTCTAAAGCGTTAACGCTCATGTTGCCTGAGGGCAGAGAGCAGAGATTTAGTATCTAACTTAGGAAATTATATCTATATCAAACCGTGATTCACTTGGAAGCATAATTCTATTTCTCAGTTGAAATCGCAGTTCTAGTCTTTTTCATTGCTTGTGATATATTTTTTTGCTGTGAATCATTATTCGTTCCCAGCATTGCCCATTGTGTTGTGAAAATTTTGCTGCCATATTATTTTGCATGTTCTTGACTCATTGACTATTTATTTCATCCATACAGCACGTGTTTGTGGTAATCTCTGTTTTCTGATGGTGCAACCATTAGGGGGTCACAATTCTCATTCCTTGGTATACAGAGTAGGCATGACGATTGATACGTGATTTTGGCGAATAAATTGTTCATATACTTATTTAGTCATAGGGGCAGGGATGGTCGAGCGGCATAGCTCTTTGCTTCCCAATGACCCGATTCGGACAGACTTGGTGTGATGTCAGCGCAGCATCCGGAAAGTCAACTCCTCCAACATTAGCCCCAGGCAGCCCCTTATCAAGAAGGGCATGCGACAAGACGTCTGATGAGGCACACGTCGCATCACTTGTCAAATCACTGTATCCAAAGTACTTATGTAGGGGGTACAACATTTGCGCACAACGAATGCCACGGTTGTGAATGCTGACAGCTTACTTGCATGCGTGTAGTTCGGCAGCGTAAACACACCAAAATTTGACTAGGCTATATCTTATTGCCCACCCCTTTCAAAGTTCGGTCCCTTTCAAGATTTCTTCGTTAGATAAGGCCAATCACAAATGACAGAAAAGTGAGAGGGTCGATCGCAGGGTTGAGCGTGAGGTCAGCCGCACCCGAGCGGGTTGTATCGGGGGGTAAGAGCAAGGGAATCGTCGTAATCAGGAAGCAAATGTTCAAAAAATTGAGGAAATGCTACGATCGAGTAAGGTGAAGAAGAAAAGCGCTTAGAAGCAGCGGCTCACAGAATGACAACTTTGGGATATTCATTATTCTCGATTCTCCTGGATGAGCTAAGTCCAAGACTGTGCTTTGCAGCTTCAAAAGATATCAATAACCTGCTTTTCCAGACGTGAAAAGCGCCATTTGAGGGCGGACCGCGTATCCACACTCTAGAGCGCGATTAGCTAGTGGGTATGGTGGGTACGGTATCTCTATCTCCACTCAAGAGCCAATCGCGCTCTAGAGGGCAGATATGCGGTCCGCGCTCAAATAGCGCTTTTCAGTCTGGAAAAGCGGGTTATTGATATTTTTTGAAGCTGCAAAGCACAGTCTTGGATTTAGCCTATTTAGGAGAACCGAGAACGATGTATATACCAAAGTTGTCATTCTGCCGTGCCGCTGCCTTTAACTGTAAGTCTCACAACTCACCAGAGGAATGACTGTCGTGAACAGCATGCTGATTAACTCGACTAACGAAGTTTCAGGCAAATTTCGATTCTTCTACCTTACACATACTGTAAGGTCACCAAAGAAGCTTTCTGTGTAAATTGAGTATGATTTCCGTAATCAGCATGCCAAATCACTTCGACGAGCTTTACAAACCATTACCGATTACATTTTCTAGTGTTTACTAAGTTCTAAAAAGCGTGAATTTCAGACATGACTAACTTGGTCAGAAAAGTGAAAAAAGTCAGCTTTTTTGTATTCATAAATAAGGACTACCCTTTACTAGTTTATGGTAGAAACTAGACTTCATGTCGCTTTCAAGTAATGGATGAAAAAGTGCTGCCAAAAAGTTAGTCACTCCGTTTTTACCTCAAATGCTCCAACCCCAGCGATCACTACAAAGCCAAATCAAGTCGAGGTAAGCTCAAACACCTATTGTAGAATCTTCAAGGTTTATGCTAGCGAATCATATAGAACTAAAGTGGAAAAGCTCCTTCGGTGATAAAGTTAGTCGGGTCAGGCGCAACCCCTCAAAAGGTCAGGCTGCCTGAGCTTTTGAGGGGTTGCGCCTGACGCGATTAACTTGTCTTCAAAATCCAAAAATCTCATTCCTAGTGCGCCAGATGGACACCAAATAGCATAATAAGAATTTTACAACATTCTAAAAGTCTTTGATTTTTTAGATGGAGATATGTTAGATATTTGCTTGAGTTGATCAATCTCGTGGCCTTGAAATCAATTCAAATTTCAGCAACTTTGAAGGTCCAAAACCCATGGAAATGCAGTGAAGAAAGAATAAGTTGACATCTCGGGTCCTTTTTTCAGCAAAAGCCACCAAACGCAGCAAGTGATAACCTCAGACAGTAGTAAGCCAACCCTTTTCATCTGGTATTTTTTTAACACCCGCATAACACGAAGCTGGAGGTTTGAGTTGGTGACAGCCGAAGAATCGCCCGTGACCGTCTTCCCAAAGGCGAACTATAGTTAAAGCCGAATATTCATATTCGAATATTTTATTCGAAACATTCCAATAATCGAGATATTCGAGAAAGTCCGATTATTCAATTATTCGAATTCGAATGAAACCGTTGTTTGAATATTCAAATATTCGACAATTGCCTTAAAATATTCGAATATAATATGCAAATATTCGAAGGATATCCATTTATTCGTTTATTCTAATAGTCGTATTCGATCAAGTTCGGTTATTCGAATATTAAAAAAACTTTGAAAATTGGAATGTGCCCATATTATATTTGAGTTCGAACATATCCGTTTATTTAGAAAATTTTCGGAAATCGATTATTCGATATTCATTCCTTTGAAAGATTTCCAAAAATCAATTAGTCGATATTCGTTCATTCGATGAAAATTTGCGTTCGTCACAACTATAATGCGAACCCACCAACGTGCTGTTTAGAGTTTGCAGTCTTCTTTCTTTCATGTAGCGGAACCCACTGGGTTTATTGATAAACCAGTGCTTCACCTCTGCTTCGCAGAGGTTCGCACTGGCCATCATGAACCGTGGGTGAACTCACTCCCTAAGAGCTTGTCTCTCCAATCGTTGTTCGGTTGACTGCAGCATGAGACCCGTAGTTAAAAATCAACCATACACGCTATCGTAGTCTCACATGATGTTTGGTATCGTAAATCATTCCTCACTGTAATTTCGTAACAGACAGACTTACACGACAAATAAGCGGCTTATTATAAGTCATGATAAGGCCACTGGAGAGTTGGCTTCTCTGTTACAGCAACGTGAAAAGAAGAGAAAGGAGTAAGGAGACGCCCTCGCGCAGGCGGTCTTCAGCGCCACTTGTTGACTTGTTTTATACGTCCATGCACTCGGCAAGTCTTTCTTCCCCCGTACTTGCTTCACGCAAAAGCCGCTGCAGCATGTATCGCGCACGGCTGTGGTCTTGTATGGAAAGCATTACGGTCGTGCGAATCGTCATATATCCAAGGAGGCCATTCTATGGTCCCTGCATACATTCTCAAGGCGCATGCAGCTTGAGAAGTGGTCCTGACAGCGCAGCTTCGCGGTTTACCGACGTTTCTATATCAGATGTTTAGAGTTTGAGTTTGAGAGTTCGCAGTCTTCTTTCCTTTTTACCTTGTTTCATCATGAGTTCTACTATAAAGGAAGCTGCAGGAGACTTTTTTAAATAGGTTTAAGTTCCAGATTGGAAAAAGTGCTTTGATAAATGAGCAGCATTTATATTTATATTTATTGCACACATGATATATGAATACATCATAGTACATCCTAGGTAGATAAAAAGATGACGCCTATACTTCATAAGGATCATTTCGATTCATTAGGAAATTTCAAATCTAAATTATAAACGTAATTTGTGAACACCTCTTAATCACGAGGTATAGGGGCCTGCAGGAACGCGAAAGTCGGACGTGCGTACGGCCATTGTTCCGCTCACGTCAGATGGATGTGCGTCTCGGGTAGAGGCACGAACACCTCAATTAGGCACCGCCTCAGCGAGCTGCTGGTCCTTTTCATCCTACTGTTGTGCATCGTGTTGGGACCAGTGGTCCGCGGGCGGGCGCCTAATTGAGGTGTTCGTTCCTCCACCTGTGCGTCTCTAATCACGTCTGCTTTGCTGAGGCTCACAGCTTCTCCGTCTGTATGCCTTCCTCTTGCTCGCATGATTTTGACTCTGGAACTCACTATGCGATGCTGACCATTGCGAACGAATTGTAAACAACTTGCATTCTATGAGGTCCATGCAGGAGCTGCAAAGTGGGAAGAGAAAAGTTCTGCTTAGAAGATTAGAAGAGAATTTCGGTTAGTTACTGAATCTATTACGGTTTTCCAGAAAGGACAGTTAATTTCTAGGATTAGCAAATAATCAGACGGAACCTTGACAATTTGATGATCTACGCAATTACTCCTTTTTGGCGCTGACTTTGCATAAAAACAGATATTTTGCCCACTTTTTGGACTTAAAGGCAGTGTCCGGGCAAAAACTCGATTTTGAGATTTTGTGCTTATACGGGCCTATTCACCATGCTGAATCTAAAAATCCACACTGGAAAGCGCGAAAACGGCAAAAAGGGGCTCTAGCGCAGAAGGAAAACAGCAGGTGGGCGGGATCTTGCTCACTGTGAATTCACGCTCCCACCTTCCGGAGCGGACTTCTTGATTCCGCTAGCCGTCCTAACATCGATACCGGCCAAGGGCGGATGATTGACTTGAAACCGGAAGCGTCGCTCCGGAAGCTGAGAGTGAATTTACAGTGGGGAGGACCCCGCCCACCTGCTGATTTCCATCCTGTGTTAGAGCCCTTTTTCGCCGTTTTCGCGCTCTCCAAATGCATTTTCGGATCCAGCATAGCGAGTAGGCCCGGATAAGCACAAAATCTCAAAATCGAGTTTTTGCCCGGACACTGCCTTTAAGTCTACGGTCTGCGCATTCACTTTTAAGCAAATCCACAATTTCGCAAAAAAATACAATCCCCGATCCACATTGGTCGGCTAAAAGTCGCGTGGACCCGTTTCACGCGCAGTTTTTGAAGCTTCCAATTATCGAAGCAGCGTGTGCTTTTGCCCTGTTTACCTACTGCTGATAGAGTGCTATGCAAAATTTCAGCTTAAGACCTTGCCTACAACACGCATGAATCTCGTGATAGGCAGACCTGAACACACACACAGACAAACAGACAAACGCTTAGCCCCTTATTATAGCGTCACCTCTGCTTCGCAGAGATTTGCATGGTTCTACTAAGACAGGCGCTATACTCTTCGAGGAATAGCATGGTGACGATCGATATGCATCAATAACCAGCGATTTTTGTTGCCGATATTGGCGATCGCCAGTCGCCAGTGTTGGCGACTACATATTAAATGTGTATCGATTGGACGTGTGGTAACTTGTTAGCGATCGATACGCATAAAAGACACAGTCGCTACGACGGGTAACGCCCGTCGCCATGCTATACTCCTTGAGGAGTATAGCACCTGCCTAACTATATGATTTCCTCG